CGACCTCTCGACAAACATGGCTACAGAAAAGGCAAAAATTATGTTAAATATTTCCGGAATCGGCCTGAATTTATAAGAACAGATTATAAACTTAACAAATAGATAGAAAATAGTTCGGTTTTTGTCATTTATAACACGAAAAAATCCAAAAAAAAAGAAAAATTCAAGTGGCCGAATACTTTTCTGACTGACTGTATATCCACAATAAGCAGTGTAAATATCGATATAAGAGTCCGATATAATACCGATTTTTCAATTGAATTACATTCACCAACCACAAATTTTACACTGAATCGTATCGCTGGACGACAATGTTGTTTATACCGAAGTGATTGTGCGAACACAATCATTTAGCTCCAAGGAGAACATATCTTCATTTATTTTTTTTACATATGAATGAGTGCGGGCAAAAGTGAGACTTGAATTCGAAATATTTCAAAGTGTTGCATCCCGATACAAAGCCCGTATACTTTTGTAACGTTTGGATTTTAATTCTACTATTCCGATTCAAACACATGTCTCAAATGATGAACTAATATTATAACCATATATCAAACTAATTTCATCGCATTCATTTGCATCAGTCGAATTTCGAACCATCACTCTGCCCCTAGCATAGCTCTAATCAGTAGCCGTAGTCTCTTTTGACTTTTAACCTTTTTCAAATATCAACATTGTGTGATGAGCATAAAACCTACAGAGAGCAAAATGAATCATTTAACGCCTAAATGTAGGCAAAATCGGCGAAACGGTTAAAAATAAACTGCTTTGGTCGCTTATGATTCGTTCTCATACATAATGTTGTTGTCGTTTCAAAACTCTTATACAAACCAAAAATTATGTCGAAATCGCGGTTCTAGACATGGTTTAAATGACGTTTAAGAAGGAATTCCGTCACAACTCTGGCACAAGAAAGAATCCATTTGAATGAGTTTCATCGTACTCTCGGAACATTACTATCGAATATGCCAGCATTAGTACGATTGGATTTTGTATCTATAGCTTCACTTGCACGCTAAACAAACGCTTTTGATTGCGATCAAAGCGTACGTCGACGCACACTCATCCTAAGTGCTGGTGACGCTTGCATTGTTTGAACGTGCTTATCGAAGTCGAAAGTGTTATCAATATTCATTGTTTATTTTGATTGTTTTTTTTTCAGAACTTCTATCAAATATATTGACAAAAAATAATCTCAAACTGAAGTTCAACTCGATTTAATAACAATGAGGCCCAGGACGCATTAGTGCATCGATACTAACAATTTTTCAATTAAAAGTGTCATGAATTGAACACTTTTTGCTTCTGAAATGCATAGACGAGGTAATAACAAACAAGTCGAACTGGGCTGTATTTATGTTGTATGAAAAAAAGAGAGATTGTTTTGGACTTTCTCCAGGTAAATTTTTTTGAATCATGCAAATTTTGGCATTTAAAATCCACAATCTCAATGATTTTATTTATTTCAAATCTAAATTTGGAGATTCCATCCAAAAAAAATTCCACAGTCGACGAGCTGCTTCATCAGAACGAATCGGTTATGACGTTATTCTGTTGCAGTTATCAAGAGAAAAACACAAACATGAAATTGTAAATAATACTCAATGTACTTGAACTGATATAATTGCCATAACAACAACACATTTCATGCGATATCAGTATCTGGTTCGTGTAAAAACTGGAATAAAATTGTCGGTTATCATAAGAAATTCTGTCATATCACTCGATTAAGTAAGCCGGTCAAGGTGTATTTTGACTATAAAACAATCAGAATTTTGGTGCCGAGTTTAATTTTGGCTCTGAATGCAGTGGTGATTGCATTCTTCTAAGGAAATAAATGGTATTTTTCATTAAAGTTGGACATTTTCATAAAAAAAAAAGTGAAATTTGGTTTGAAAATTTTCGAATTTGGTTCAAAATCTTAGATTTGTATCAAATTTACAGAGTTTGACTCAGGCGACAGATATATGCTTTAGCATAGAAAAAATATCCGCATATTTTTTGGTTTGTTCACTTTCAGTATATAACGGCACCCAGCTTCATCGAGTATCAGCACGCACACTGAACGTGGTAGTATAGGACGGTTTGTTTACGAAGAAAAAAATTGTTTATAAACAAAATCTACCAGAACTATACAGCACAAAACCTTAACATAGGACAGCATTGCTGCCGAGGGGCAAATCACTCTAAAGTAATTTGTAATAGAGAAAGTAATTTACGTGTAAAATACTTTTGAAAAGTAATAGAGATTTTTACACGTAAATTACTTTCGCGATTACTTTCTCTATTACAAATTACTTTAGAGTGATTCGCTCAAATACATTGCGCTGTACAACTCGGAAAGATTTTGTTTATAAACAATTTTTTTTCTTTGTAAACAAACCGTTCTATACTACCACGTTCAGTGTGCGTGCTGATACTCGATGAAGCTGGGTGCCGTTATATACTGAAAGTGGACAAACCAAAAAATATGCGGATATTTTTTCTATGCTAAAGCATATATCTGTCGCCTGAGTCAAACTCTGCAAATTTATTGAATTTTCATCGAAAGAAATTGAAATTTGCTCGAAATAATTGAAAAAGTTGATCAAAACATAAACATTCACACATAAAAATAGTAAATTCATTCAAATCTTGTTAGTTACAAGAGAAAAAAATTCAGTCCAAGTTCAATTGAAGTGAAATTGATTTATTGAACGTGAATTTTACTCAAGGAACGAAAACCAAGTCAAAAATGTCGCTGTCGAATATCAAAGAAACTCTGAAAATCGTGTCAGTTGATGCAAAAGATATACGCTGGCCTACTTCATTGGGTGGCCATGGGTCTGATGCAATGGTAAGTAGATACGTTTACATATTTTCAAGCGAATAAAACCATTTCTATTTAAAATGATCGTTTGCATTTCCTCATTCGCAGCACACTGACCCGGATTACTCGTGTGTTTATGTAACAATCAAAACGAATGAATCGATTGAAGGCTACGGATTGACTTTCACTCTCGGCCGTGGCAATGAAATTGTTCGGATGGGCTGCAAAGCACTCAGTACATTGATTGTCGATCGTCATTTGCGCAATGATATTTACGCACGATTCGGTATATTCTGGCGAGAGCTAACCAGCGAAACTCAAATGAGATGGGTGAGTCTGTCTGTTTACACAAATGGTTTGCAAATTTATTGCGATTATGTCAATTTTATTTTGATATGCGAACTAAACATAGAGTAGATGCATATCGGAGTGAATTTTGCCACTCATGACAAGAACGAACCGCACATTTATTGGAAAAATAAATATCATGTAAATGTGGATCATTTATAATGAATGATACCGTAAACGGTTGTGTTTGGAGAACAGAGAAGTGGAATTTGAATTGTTTTGATGATCTTTGAATTTCATGGGATTTATTTAAACCAAAATTTTGTGAATCATACATCAAAATTGAAGAATTTATGCTTTTGCTAAAACATAGACAGTCGATGATTATAAATAGGCTAATGAGCTCAATCATACGTAAACTCGCGTGAATAATTTTTTAAAGAAATTGCTACTTCCCGTCATCGCACTAAATACCACTCAATCAATCCTTATTCTAAATCATGTTTGAATAGCTTGGTCCAGAGAAAGGTGTGATGCACCTGGCTGTTAGTGCTATCATCAATGCACTATGGGATCTCTGGGCAAAACTGGAGAAAAAACCACTTTGGCGCCTATTGTGTGACATGGATCCTGTAGTAGGTTCAATTATTACCTTTTGTCTATCAAAATTCTCAAAATTCAATTCACAAACGTCCAGTTGCTGGTATCAACGATCGATTTCCGTTACATAAGTGATGTGGTGACACCGGCTGAAGCTGTAAAAATGTTGAAAGAGGGTCAGAATGGCAAACAGCAGCGAATTGATGAACTCCTAAAGAATGGCTACCCGTGTTATACCACGCAAGTTGGTAAGTTGTTTTTTTCTCATATTATTCTGTTTAAAAACTAATTCATTTCCCAACATTTCCAGGTTGGATCGGCTACTCCGATGAGTATCGCCGTAGCTTGTGCAAAGAGTATTTGGCCCAAGGATTTAATGCATTCAAATTGAAAGTTGGTCAAAATTTAGAGGACGACCGCCATCGATGTCGTCTGGTGCGCGAAGAAATCGGATGGAAGAATAAGTTGGTGAGTTCACTCGTCTAATCATTCAATCGATTTTGACTGAGTAGTTGTATAGCCATTCAATTAAATGTTCAGAAAATCCGTTCAGTCAAAAAAAAATCCAAATACCGTTGTAGTTGGTATTTTTGTTCTAAAACAACTGACTTCAATTCTTCTCACAGATGGTTGACGCAAATCAAATCTGGGACGTAAATGAGGCGATTGAATGGATGAAAAATTTGTCTGAATTCAAAATTTGGTGGATTGAAGAGCCAACATCTCCTGATGATGCCCTGGGCCATGCCACCATTGCCAAGGCATTGAAACCATACGGAATCGGCGTTGCTTCGGGTGAAGCGTGCATGAACCGAATTATGTTCAAACAATTCTTGCAAGCCGGCGCATTGGAATTCTGTCAGATTGATTCTGCTCGCATCGGTGGAGTGAATGAAATATTATCAGTTTATTTTATGGCCAAGAAGTTTGGAGGTGAGAATGAAATTTTTTACGCATTATGAAATTGTTGTCAATGTTTTTATAGGCTAGATTTTTTATTTACATGGTCAATATCCGAAGTTCTCTTTGAATAATGAAATGAAATCTCAATGTCTGTTCTTCGTTAACACTTTTAAAAACCTAACCGTTGATGATTTTCTTTTTGTTTCCATTTGATTGTTCCAGTGAAAGTATGTCCACACGCTGGTGGAGTCGGTCTTTGTGAAATGGTTCAACATTTGCAAATGTGGGACTTTACGTCAGTGTCTTGCACAAACACCGATCGATATGTGGAGTACGTTGATCAACAGCATGAACAATTTGTCAATCCAACCAATGTGAAAAATGCTCATTACTTGGCACCCACTGCGCCTGGATACAGTACCGAACTGAAGAAAGATGCAATCGTCAAGTTTGAATATCCAAATGGCAGCGAATGGCAAAATATGTTCAAATTAGGTATTATGAAAGAAATTAAATACTAAATTGGTCTCGAATTCTTTTGGGCAATAAATGGATTGTTTTTATTCGAATATTTGAAAAATCAATTCATCAATGTTTTGGAGATGTAAATTAGAAAATTGAACAAAATGTGAGTCAAAATAGAAAATAAGGAGTATTCATCAAAGGACATTCTAAAAAAAAAGCACTATAATAAAATATGGAAAAATGTATCATTCAAACATAAGAATGTACAAATAATTGTCTTTGCTTTGAAAAAGGATATTTTCTCGGAATTAAAGTCAAAAACCAAATATTGCTAACGTAATGTATTTATTGTAATGCGAATTATTTTTTTTTTACAACAAAGTGTATACACTATATAAGCTATACATAGCTTTTCTGGATTAGGTAACCTAATTTAGGTTTTCGTCTGTTCTATTCGTTATTTCTTTAGTTGTTCATTTCATTCAGATTTTTTCTTGGTCAAAAGTTTTTATTTGTTTGACATTGCAGTCAGTCAAATACTGTCTGTGTTTGATTTACATTGTTGTCCTCCATCTTAAGGCGCTTTGAAGGTGTACCTTCTCCACACAACTCACCGATAGAACTCTGTAATGAATGTGTAATTGTGATTATAAAAACTTGAAAGTTAATTTAAGTCTATTACGTTTGTAGCCTGGGATGAAATAGTTTCATCGTTATTTTCTTCGCTATCCTCATCATTTGTTGCTGCTTCATCGTTGTATACTTCTTCAAAAGCAATTTCTTTCGGCTCGGGGTACTGCAAGTATAGACGTTAAAATTAACATTGTTAAAACGATTTCATCTATTTCCTTTGAATTACAAATATATACCATTTTCTTTGCATTTAAGAAAAATGTGTCTAAATTAGTCCACATCGACTGAAACGTTTCTTCGGGATGTTGTCTCGATAAGTGTTCTTTTATCCAAGATGAGAAATTGGATTTATATTGTCCGATACGATCATCGCAAAGCAAAATAGCTCCATAATCATTTCGATGTCGAATGACTCTACCTATGGCCTGGTTGGCAGCTCTGCATGCATCCAAATAACACCAATCCCTTCCCGCAAATCCAATTTGCGGGTTCTTATCAAAATACTCTCGTCTCAGTTTGATCTTCAAATCACTCCACGTTCGTAATGGAAGACCAACCATCATAACGCAACGACCGTACTTATCGCTGAAATTCAAACCCTCGCTGACCTTTCCTCTCGCTACCGCCATAAAAATGGCTCCTTTGCTATTTTGTTCATTAATTTTTGCCACGTAGTCATTCATTGATTGTTTAAACTCGTCTCTATTTTTTGATTCAACGAAGATCTTTTTTTGTTCTTCAATATTTGACCAAATATCCCCTTCGTTTTGGTCTTGCCAAGTCTCTACACACTTCTCCATTACATCGTATTGACGAAAGAAAACCAAAATTCCGTCAGGTATAACTTCAGATAATTTTAGTAGAGTGCGTCCAATAGTTAACAAATAAGCGATTCCCCTAAAAAAACCATATAAATTAGCATTTTGTTTCTTTAAATGTGAGAAGTGATTTTAATTACATGTGTTTCTTTATGGAATCGAACGGTCCAATATCAACGCCTCTAGATAAAATTCGTGCAAACACTTGTTCTTGATCAATGATGTGTGATGGGATTTCTAGTTGTATTGGAATTTCGATTTCCAGTTCTTTAGCGAATGGTTCTAACGGAGCCAGAGTACCACTCGTCATAATCAAAGAGTGCAGATTTTGTGCAAGTAAGCTATGCATTCTAAAATATACGAAAATCATCGTTTAACTCAATATTTCGCTATCGAATAATTTTTTCCTAATATTTACCCGATTGCTGGAGAAAGGCATATAAAATGCAGTATTATTTTTCGACCGTTACCCTCTTCTGCTGCTGCTTCTTCTTCTTCTTCTTTTTCTTCTTCTTCTTCTACTTCAGCATGCACTTTATATAATCGATTTAATCTGTCTAGAAAATTTGCGCGATCCCTTTCCGAATCAAAATCTTGGTCGGCACTCCAAAAAATGATTTTCAGGAAGTCTTGTATATTACGTAATCCATCGAGTTTTTGCAAACCATGGTCATTTTTCGGTTGTGTTTTCAAAAACTTGATCAACTTTCCCAACATATCAATACTGTGCATGTCAATCTTTTGAAAAAAATACATCAACATGTTATTTAAAAGATTTAAAAAAAAAATTGAATCAGTTATGATTCCATAACAGCTTACCTCAACGCTCTCCAACAGTTCGAATATGAATCCACCGTGTTTTGTACCAGTTTTAATATCTATCAATTTCTTGAAAAGATCCGATAATGATTTCTTCAAATCATTAGCGCCAGCTTCCATTGTACTTGAATTCTCAATAATCTTTAAGAAAAAAAAGCAAACTTGTTTCAATTAAAATATTTTACAAAATATTAGATTTTCTATTACATAATCCAAACCGTCAAGTGCGTTTGATATGTTTTTGGTTGAGATGTGCTTAGATGCAGCATTAAGGCAAACGTCCGGAATATTATGGGCTTCATCAATAATCACGACAGCATTTTTCATATCGATTTCCATAGTATCGCGTAATTTTGGAACGAATAAGTAGTTGTAAGGCATGAATATGATTTTCGCTTCTTCAGTTCTTTTACGCGACATAAAATATGGACAACAGTGATTCTGCTTCCCATACTTGCAAAGATCTTCGATGTCAAGTATTGGTTCTTTCAATGGTCCCACATCTCCTGTCAAATTCTTATAAAATTCGCAATTATTTTCGTCTCTCAATAGTTGGCATTTATCAATTTTTTCGTCATTGGTCTTCAAGTTTTTCACATCTGGATGAATACATAGCTCATCGCGTGAACCAAGAACTGCCGCTTTGACTTTTTTATAAGGGCTTTTTTTTAATTCTTTCATCGCTATAGATAAAAAAAACAATAAAAATGAATAAAAAAAAACTTATCTACTCAGCCATTAAATTGTGTCGTTAATTGAATTGATACCTTTTTTAATTTGTGTGTGAGTTCGAGTTGCGTATATCACCTTATATGTGGTAGCACCACTTTCATTGCCGGTACGTTTTCCAATCCACGCCAAAGTTGAGCACAACAAACTCAATGTTTTTCCAGTGCCTGAAAAAAACATTAACGAAATTGCAAAAAAAAAATTCTAATGTTTCATCACTTTTTTCAAGTCAACCTGTTGGCGATTCCAAAATGGCGCGTTGTCCAGTTTTCAATGCTTGAATCATACTTTTCATGTACGTTTTTTGGATATCGTACGGTTCGTGGCTGAACTCCACCAAAATATCATCAATAACAACCTTATGCTTTGCCATTTTTGGCAAAAATTATCACGTATCTACAATTTTTATCGAAAAGTTGGGAATTTTCTTTTGCAACAACAAACAATAAATTGCACTCGCCAATGACGTCAAAGACCAGTTTTTCGCCACTGATTGTTGCAAACTTATTGCAACTTTTGAGTCGTTAAATTCGCATGCATACAAATAAACGGTGGATGTGAAATACAATCAAACACGTTTACTAATACACATACATCGTATTGAATCTATACCATTTATGTGTCAGCGCATCTCAGATATCAACAAGATTATTGACAGCTCAATTATACAGATTTAATACGATACTTCAGTGTAGATTATTTCTTTGTATTTGGTAAACATTGTGCATGCTATAGTTCTTATTTTGAATGAAATTGTTCTATGTCTATCTTAAAACACGTTCCAATGGAAAAAAGACAAGAAAAACAGGAAATATCATGAAAAATCCATTTAATTCATTGAAATTGGCTTTGAAAAAAATGTCGATCTAAATTGTTTGAATATCCGACAAAAATCGCTCGGTTCAATTCAACTATTCCAAATTGCGCGCTCACATCTTATGTACGTGTAAAATGTGAACCGATTGAAAACTGAAACTAGTGATGTGTCCACGCAGACTCGGCAAAATCGCACACAGTCATGCGATAGACCGTACGTATGAACTGTCATCGCTTTTCACTTTTGTAGTGCATGTTTTGTGTATTGATGTAAAAGACGACATACGCAAAAAAAACCCATCACTTGAGACAGTATCTATGCACACCGTGTGTGTGAGTATGTCGACTATAGCATCGTTTTGCCGAATGATACACAGGCGCAGAGCGACGTTATGTTATGCATACTCACACACACACGTTCGTTTGCTCACTCAGCCCGTGTTCGGTATCAAAAGAGACAGAGAATCGAGTCACATTTAGTACGTTTTAAAACGAAGTAGCGATAAGTTCGTGTGTCCGTGTGCCCCGAACCGCTAAGCTCTAAGTGTGTGCAAAAGAAAAGAAAATTGTTGTAAAAATCCATCATGTTAATCAAAGAATTGTAAGTATTTCTGTCACACACATTCGGTTCAATTGATCAACGGCAAAAATGTGGCAGTTTCAGTCCGGATTTTTTTTCTGTTAAAAAAAAACGAAGGAGAGTGAAAAAAAAAGATTAGCAAAAAGAAAGATGAAGAGAAAAAAAGAGTTGAAATTATAAAGTGTCAGCCGTTGCCGTCATCGTGGTGTCGAAATGTATGGAGGTGTGAGTGTGTGTGCGTGCGTATATTGTGTGCCAGTGTTTGGTGGCCAATTATGAATCATATCCATATCTAAAAATCGAATGATGACGAATCAACGAAACTCCATGCAAAACACCTGAAACGTGTTTTTCACACATGAAAATTGACAAACAACATCGAATTCGATATGTTTTCATTGACAAACGAAAATAAATAGAACCGAAAAAAAAAACCCAACTGAAATACACAGTCGACTCAACATTTTTCTCTCTCTCGCTTTGCCATTGTAAGTGACAGTGTTTGGTTTATGTGTGTGTGTGTGTGTTTGAGTGTTTGTCATTCGACGGCGGCCTCTATTTGTTTGTGTGTTTTGGTGCGCGCACAATCGACGTGCTTGTCTGTCACACGTTTCGCTCTCTCTCCATTGTATTGAAGACCGAGACATAACGTTCCATTTATTTGTTGTATCGCGTGTATGTTTTTTTACATCGCTCGCTCACGGTGCTTTACTTCGGATTACTTTCAAATGGATATATGCATGTTTATGGTGTGTGTTGAAATGAAAAAAAAAAAAAAAAACGGAGAATCGACTGAGTCAAACTGTCATGAAATCAAAATCGATTTTCTCAACCATTCCAATGTAAATCAAACATCACCGAAATGAATACCAGGACCGACCCACGATCAGAAAACAAAATCGATGCTAATTTATGATCTTCCAGCCCAGTACAATTGAAATTCAATTGTGATTCTGTGATTTTGTTGTAATTGAATTGCGAACGGACGAGAGAGTGTGTGAGCGAGCGAGTACACGCCACCCGGAAGCACCAAATAGTTAAATGTGTCATTTCTCGCATTATTCAATCCAAGTTTGCTATTCAATTTTTATTCCGTTTATTGACTTTCGCTCCTGCTCTCTCACCCTCGCGCGCTCGCTCTCCCTCTCTTTCTCTCTCTTTTTCCCTCGATTTCTTTTTCTTTTCTTCATTATTTCAATCTTTTTTCATTTTTCTTTCTTTCTCCATAAATTTCTAAATGTTTTTTTTTTCTTTTGTCAAAGTTTTTCCTGTATTTTTCTCTATTTTTCTACTTTTGCCACTCGCATTACTTGTGTTTTTCGTTAATACTCTGTTTTTTTCCCATGTCTCTCGTCTTTTTTGCTCATTTTTACGCTTCCTCTTTTGAAATCCCTGCCTTTTTCTCTTTTTTGCGTTTTTTCTACTTCGACCGTGTGTAAAATGAGCGAAACTATTTTTTTTTATCATTGATTCTGATTTATGTTCTCCCTTTCTCATTTCCTCCTGCCATCGCTCCAAGCGATGACCAGAGAAATAGAACAAAATAGATGAGCTAACAATGAAATAGAATCAATTCTCTCTGACTTTACATCAATTGTGCGGTTTCAGGGTGAAATTTTCACGTGAAAACACGCCGATTAAACTGTAATTTTGATTGCTATTCAACAATTAATGAACATGAAGTTACGATATTTTCAGGGTCGCGTGTACAATTCCAACGAAGCAAACACGTCGACAGTATGATAAAATTGTTTATGAGAGAACGAGACGGACAAAGAGAGTAAGTGAGTGAGTGAGAGAGAGAGAGAAGCAAACAATAAAGACGTCGAAGTCCATTGTATGGTTTTTTGTTTCTCTGTGTGTCGTTTTGGGATTTGTTTTAATTGAATTGATATTTTTCTATTGATCGACGTCATTGTGTGTGTCACCAGTGAAATGAGACCACTTGGACTGGGTCCCACGTTTGCGGAACGCTCTCAGCTGCCACATTGTTAGTTTTATGCAATGTGTTGTTTTTTTTCGTTGCGTATAGCAAACTGTTTGTTGCATGCAAATTCGATTTCATCAATGCACATCGCTCAAGGCGATAGAGAAAGAGTGAGTGAATGGGCAAGAGTGAATGTGATAAAGAGAGAAACAGAGAAAGACAAGAGAGCAAGTGAATGAGATAGAAAGTGGGTGAAACGGAGAGAAACAGAAAGAGACACGGTTGGTCGTCATCAAGCCAACCATATCATGTTCCATTGATGCTTAATTATGATATCACGCTTCAGCCCATTGACGTAATCGACATAAACACCAACATATAATTACACCCATTTTCTATTTATTCATCGCCACGAATCGTTTCAAAGGAAAAAAAAGCCGTTCAATGCAACGAGAATTTCAAAGAAAATCCACCGAAATCAATCATCACAATAGCCGATTATTTTTTTCGTTAGAAATCATCATTTAAAGCATTTAAAGCAATTATATGAAAAGACCCTCAATTATCGTTATCTACTTTAAGAGATTCACGCCAATTATATTCGCCGCCGACGACGTAATCTTGTTTAATAACAAATAGTTCACACCTTAACCGTCGTAAGATGGTGCGTTGCACAAACAATTTTTAGTGGCTTTTGAAACAACTATGACAAAAGCCACAAAGACATTATCGCTATTTTATTGCGCGCGTAATGAAAAGACACACTTAGCATTGAATAAACACTTAAATGACGTCCACCGAATATCGCACGTTGACATTGATTTGGAAACGAAATTTTTGCCATGCCGCACATGTCATGTAAACAATGGAGCAATGGTTCGCACCATTTGGGCCTGAAATTGATCGAAATATGAACACTTCAATTATCAACAAATGGTTTTATTCGTGACTTTTATGATAAACTTTAGTCGATAACAATTTTCGGCTGGAAGTTGATATTCAAATCTAAATGATATGGATATCAATGAGCGACTCTGTTCGATATGGGTAATGGGCTTAGATGGCGATAAAGACAAATAGCTGGATATTAGGCCGACACACGGCAATTTTGAAGAAGAGAGAAAAAGAAGAGAAAACTCAATTTAGTACACAGAGAATTCGATACATAACCGAAACAAATGTTCAATACAAGTCGATTGCCAATAGAGCCGTGGAATTCGATCGGTTGTTTCGATCAAAGGCCAGACCATTACAGATTTTTCATGTTTTCACGCGAATGTGTTTTGTTCATTTTTCTAAGCCCACATGAAACTAAATAGCATTTTAACCGAATTTTAGGCTACAAAAAACGGGAAATTGCGTTTTAAATTGGAAAATTTACGATTTGAGTTTTCATTTTTCGGCTATTTTTAGCCATGCCAAACAATTTCAACCGCCATATAAATTACGTTCGATGAAATAAATGAGTTTTGCTTCCTGCTGTTCGAAGCGTCGAAAATCTGGTGGAAAATTGCACCAATCGACCGTCGTCGTGGTCGAATTGCGGCTATTATAGCTGACGCATTGTGCGGTTTTAGACTAGGTGTGCTTGGCACACCGAGACGATGAACTGTGAATGGCTTGTGCAAATATTTAGATTCGCTTATTGTTGATAGAACAATTTTTGGGTGTCGCGATTCTAATCGAGATTGAATGTAAAACACTCGTTTTGTTGGCAACAGAGAGCGAATGTCAGGCGATGTTTCGCTGATTGAAGGGTGGAATGGAGGATTGAGAACGAAAGAGAAAGGATATAATGATATAAAATGAGCGAATTTGAGATTAGAGGCGAAAGAATTAAAGAAAAATACGAAGATCAATTATTAGTAGAGAACAAATGAAACCGTGAATTGAGCAGGAAAGGGTGAATAGAATTTTAGGCAGAAAAAGAGAGAGGAAGAGATAAAGACACAGACAGAGACGGCGCCAGAATCAGAGACAAGACAGAGACAGAGTTAAAGAAAAAGAGAGAAAGGCAAAAAAGCCACGAGCTCAAAAAATAGCGGGAGTTGAAAATATCAGGGATCGAAACCAAACCAAACCGAATATTTGGTCTGAGTGTGTGAACAAACCAAACCATTCGGAACGTTCTGTAAAATGGTTTGTATGGCACACAGAAACGTTTATGCTTACGTGTATTAGTAAACGACACTAACACAGTGACAACCCGCTTGAACTTTGCCCATACAAACCATTCTCAGAACGTTCCGCTTGATACGGTTCGCTCCGATGAACAGAGAGCAAAGCAGTGAAACCGTTCCGAAATCGGTTTGTATGAGAAACGTCAAACCGTTTTCGATCCCTGGAAAATATAATCGCATTTGGCAATGGTTTAGAACAATGAGCCAATGCAAATTAAAAACGGTCGACGTCATGAGATTCACATAAATTATCCCTTATGATTCAATATGTCAGCTACGGAATGCTCGGCTGAATAAATGAAACCCGTTTATTTTTCGGAGTGAAATGAAAACCAATACCTGATTATTTTTACATTCAAACAAAGAGCTTGGTGGTGAATAATTTCAAATATATTGAAAAAAATGTGTTTTTGCTGCACGGAAGCGATAAAGCATTCCGTTAGAAATCGATAAGAAACCATAAATTATATTTTTATCACGACAAAATTTCGCAATGGAAAACATCGTGTAAGCCTTGAATTACAATCGCGAATCATCATGAATATTAGCATTTCTTATCACTTTTGTCGACATTCATCAATATTTGAGATATTGATGTTCTGTATGGAATAAATGGTTTGCTTTCATTGCGTTTTATGAGATATTTATCAACAGTTTATGCCAGTTTTTCAAGTAACTCTTGTATAATTTATGGTATTTATGTATTGATTGACGCGCCAACAAGACACCTCATCATTTTTTCATAGAAACGATTCCAATCTGAACCGAATATGACTCACTCGAATTAATGATTCAGACCAATATAATTTATGTTTACTGCTCTAAATTCTTTTATTCGAAGTTCAGGAATCATTCATTTACTTTTGATTTATCAATTTTTTACTTGAAGACTTTGTTTATCTTGTCTGAAATGGTTCTCATTATGATTGGAACGTTTAATTATTCCATGGTAATAATTGATTCGCTAAAGAAAATAGAAATCGTTTTCAAACAACGAGTCTATTATAGTCATTGAAAATATTCACATAACAACAACGTAATTAATAAATAAACGTTGAAGGAAGAGAATCAAACTGATATATATATTGCACGTGAAATTGGAGAGTCCAACAAAACATATGAAACTAGAGAAACAACAAAAACAGGTGGAATTAAAGAAACAACGAGAACACATGAAAGTAGAAGAAGAACAAATTATGTTTAGAATAATTTTTGGTATAAATTTACAATGAGATTGATATTGAACCAGAGATAATGACACGGAATGTAAAAAGAATTGTTTTCGAATTTAAAAATCTGAATAAAGGATGAAAACATGAAATCCACTGTAAAACCGATTTAAAAATTGACACATTTTGAGTGAGATCCTTGTTCAAATAGTGTTTTTTTTCATCCGAATAAGAATTTTTCGTTCATTAAAATCGAATGCAGACTCCTTCATCTGTCAGTTGGGTCGCTCAATCTTTTCGAGTCGGTCAATTTGAGTGACTGCTTGAGAATAAGTGACTGCTAGACTGCGGCACTGATAGTTTGAGTGTAAGATTGTCAGAAGTCAATTTTCCCGCTATGAGAAATGCTCAACTGAGAATGTGAAGCCAATTCTCTGTCCGACCGTTCATCGTCTTCCGCATAAACCGAGACCAAAAATAGATTGAGAAGGTCGACACTTGTTCACATCAACGAAATTATATTATAGCCCAAAATTAAATTCCATTGTTGTGGAATGTGGTTCCGGCGATAAAATTTGCTTCTGTTCAATACCCTGAACTGTTTACAGTAATGTAAACAGAATAAATTATGTTCAATGCAATTGTATTCTATCCGAAGTAAGGCGATATCCCAACACCCGTATAAATGGATGTTAGATTTTACTCAAAAACAATGTGCTCGAAATGACCCATTTACACTTGTACGTTGTGTGAGATGTTGATGAGTTTCGAGTTTTCGTTGCATTTCAATCGAATTCCATTTGATTAAATTGCGAATCAGAGTGGGATGTGCATGACTATGGTGAAATGGTCAGCACAAACCGTCGTGTCACAAGGCATAATTTCATTTGCTAAATGGTCACAGCCGTATATCCCAAGTGGCCTCACACAAAATTGAACTTTGATTCCAATGAAAACGAAAATTGAAACACTTCACTTGCTTTCTCCAAACACGACGCGATGAGTCGACAAAAACTAACAATGTTGTGCACAACAAATAACAATAACTTTGTGACGACAACAACAATAACAAAACTGTAAACACAACAGCCATGGGGTACAACAACAATTACAATAGTCGTACGAAAATAGCATCGCAAATAAAAGGAACAAAGCAAAAAAGAGAGTCTCTCTCTCTCTCTCTCTCTCTCTCTCTCTCTCTCTCTTGAGAGAGAGAGAATGTACATAGCAAAAACATGATAATCATTGTGTATGTTTACTTTTTCACGTTTCAACTCTTTGTATAGTCTCAGATGCAACTCAAATGTGGTTCTTCATTTGAACGGTTAATAAAATTTATGCGAATTTTAAGGTGGAATTTTATATGCATTGTGAATTGAATTTGTACGATTTGGAACGGTGTAACGGGAATCTAACAGTTTTGTGCATCTTTTCAAATGTTCAACAAACATCAACAAGCATTATTGCCTTGCAGCGTCTAGAAATACTAGACTCTAGTATGTTTTAAAATGCATGCTCTTTGGTGCTGAATGTTTACAACTCATTTTATGGAGCTCATTGAGCTTAGCCCAATTTTTGTGAAGCTTGATTTTTAGAGGTCAATTTTCATGTGGATCCAATTTTTAGAGCACATTTGATGATGATATAAAAAAAACAGAGAGTTTTTATAAAATAGAAAGAGTTTAAGCTCACTTATGAGTCATAAATGAAGTTATGGGCGCATTCATTGTTTTGATCGTGAGCTCACTGATAATCTCCCTATATATTGTATGCTCCTTTTTGCATCATTGATGAACTCATCACTAAAATCTTTCTTCAAAGCGAACGAGTCGACGTTTATTTTTTTTTCAATTTTTGTGTATTTTTCCTTTAGATGTCTAATAGACACGGTCTATTCTCTATGAATAATTCCATCTATCTACCATAAACAAAACGCATTCCAACGTGAATGAGCATTTCAAGGAACATAGTTTCGATATGTAAATTGCATTTTTCAGTCGAATATATTGATTCAAAATGAACTCTTTGGAAAACTTCTTCAATCCATTTATTCATTTTGTTCTGAACTTCATTCAAATTCATTATTATTCTTAATTTGCATAGAATAGCTCGTTTTAATTTCCAATTCGAATGGAAAAGCACTTTTTCAATGTAAATCGCTTCAATTCCAATTCCACCCGAAAGAACTCTCTCGATTTCCCATTCCAATTGAAGAGCTCGGTCTGAAAAGAACTATTGTTGTCGGTGAAATCTTGAATTATTGCAAATGAATTGGAATTTTGGCGCTCACTTCAATTAATTATGTATGAGATATTAACCCAATTTCACGACAGTAAATGGGAAAAATCCAATGCGGAGGAAGAAATAGTGCATTGAAATGGGATGAAAAGGACGAATCACACAGTACAAACTGTTGAAAAACTCCGAGTTCCAAATTTGTGCTCATTTATGTGGGTTATCTAAATCGGTCTTTTGCCCGTTGAATCGATGTGCCATTCAACAAAATCGATTCATTCTGCCCGAAATACCTTCATTACATCGAACAAACGCTATGCTTCCTTCTTTACATATTAACGCCTCTTGAATAAATCCTCCTTAGATTAGCGGTGCTGAAGCATTGAAAAAGCGAAATAAGGCGATAGCGCTCGTTCCATTGCACATGAATCAAGTGACAAGTGAATCATTTGTCAAAGGTTGTAATTAATTATATGCCGAAACAATAGGTGACGGTGTCATAATCCGCTACTTTTTACACTTATCGATAGACAAGTGGGAATGCGATTTAAGCATTAATTTTTTTGCATTGGTCATTCACTCTTCGCGTTTTTGAGAGAAAAAAACAGACGATTTTTTTGCAATTTTTCGTTTTTTTATGACTTTTTCGCTTTTTAAGTTTTTTATTCAAATTTTGGGTCATTTTTCACTTTCTTTGACATTTTTGCGTTATTTCTGCCATTTTTGCCCTTGGTTTTGTTATTTTTCCATTTTTTTTTGCAAGTATTTTTAGCTTTTTTCCTTTCCCAACATTTTTTCTCCACCAAATCTACTAATAAATTTTCTCTTCCTTCTCTTTTTCCCCTTCTCATCAAAACAGCCGTGTTACTTTGCCATTGACCGTTGAAGAGGTGAGTATATTACATAAAACAGGTTTTTTTTTTGTGTGTCAGCTGTTTCCGTGTCAGAAATCGTTAAATTATTATCACGTGTAATTGTAGTCGGCCGAGAAAAAAACCAACACACACACACACATTGGTTGTGCATCGTTCACATGTTGTTGAATGACTCTATTATTGGATTCAATGAGCCGCATTCCATGTGATTCAAATTGCTTTGGTGTGCATTGCTAATAAACTCGATCAATTATTCAAATTGATTGATGTTTACGTTGTCATTGAATGCGGGCAATCTGAAACAACACGGAATACAAACACAGCGCAACACAAAATGTTATAAGCATTGATTGGCTCTATCTAATAGATCTATCGTTCTCGTTCTTATTTTCAGTACCAAGTAGCTCAATTATTTTCGGTGGCCGAAGCGTCGAAAAATGAAACGGGTGGTGGCGAAGGCATCGAAGTTATAAAAAACGAACCGTTCACCGATCATCCACTTCTCAATGGCAAATACAGTTCGGGACAATACACCTATAAAATATACCATTTGGCTTCGAAAGTGCCCGCATTCATTCGTTTGGTGGCACCAAAAGGCTCACTAGAAATACACGAAGAAGCATGGAATGCCTACCCATACTGCCGAACAGTCCTAACCGTATGTGTGAAACACACACACAGAGAGAGAGAGAGCGAGAGAAAGAGACAGAGCGCCTCTGTTTTACTATATATTTGATTGAATGAATGGCTTATACTGCAATTGAAATTGGAATTCAAAGCGGCAAATGTCAAAATGTCAACGATAGACACAAAACCTTTTTTTTTACAAAAGGTCCAAGGCAAACGAACAATTATTATCGATTCTGACACACCGTAACATGAGAATATCACGATTCTTTTTAGTAATGAATCTCAAGGCTTTTTGCTTGAAGAAAACTTCCAATTTTAGACATTTTCTTAGATATTTGTATCTATTCACAGACAGTTCGTTTTTTCGTTGATTTCGTCCTTTTAGATTATTTCTATCTGTCAATTTCATTGATAAACAATCAATGATTATGAAATTAATTCACGAACTCTAAAAATTTCCAATGATTTTTTTTTTATTTTCAATTCAATTTCTAACATTTTTTTAATTTAAATTTCATAATTTTGTTCCCTTGCAAATTTAATAATTTTTCTTTTCAAGCCATTTTCAATGGAATTTCAAAGTCTTTTTAAATCGATTTAAAGCAATCCAAACTTGCCTATTTTGCCAAAAAAAAGTGCTCAATTTCTTCATTATTTGGCCGGAAAATCGTTTAAAATCCAAAATTAAAAATATAAAAAATTGGCAAAATTATTGAATTTCAATTAAAAAAAAATTTCAATCAATTTTTTTAATGAAAATTCTCCTTTGAATTCCAAATTTCAATTTCAAGCCAACAAATTTACTTTTCATTTTTTCCCTCAAAATTTGTTGAACTAATCAATTTATTTACCAATAACAAAAAAAATAGAATCCAAAGTATATGAAAAAAAATTTCACGTTGACCGTTGAAACGTTACATTTGCCGGATAACGGTGACAAATCAAACGTAAGTGTCGACTTTGAGCAAGTCATTAATTAGTATTTCTCTCTTTTCTCTTTTTTCTTCCTTTTTTTTAAACGTAATTGCAACCTGGTGTTTGGTGTCGTTTCTCGTTTAAAAAAACCTTCTTGTTGTCGGTCGACTGTTATTATTTGTACAAATGGAATTTAAAAAAACTAATGTCTGGTATTGGGTACTATATTGAAACCAAAAAAAAAAAAATATCGTGCGGTGTCGTCGTAAAAAATGTGTATAGAATCCGGGATATATGAAAGAGAATTTTATTATTTGTATTGAAACGTTACACATCGGTGATGTTGGCAATCAAAACAATGTAAGTGCCATGCAGCGTGTGAAACCAATTGCATGTTGTTGGCTGTGTGTTTTTGTGTTCTCTTCCCCGCCCTACCTTCACCTTTCGAAATGATTGCTTGCACTTATCCAAAAAAATCTAAAGAAAATAGAGCATATTCTCCCTTCCCAAACCATAAATATATTGCCAGAATACCAAAAAACAGCCAATGACATCTCTAAACCAGCTTATTGAATCATCGAATATTTCGAGCAACTTTTTTCAATCGTGTGTGGCTTGAGTTGAATATAATCAACTTTACGGCGACACTAGCAGCTTCTCTGCACACACATCGTAGAAGAGAGTAAAAAAATCATAGTATTTTGGCAAATGCATCGAGTAACCATTGCGAAACATCAATACGTTTTGGCTAACGCATAGTACCGGCCCCCACAGAGAAGCTGCTAGCGTTGCCGTAAAATTGATTATATTCTAGTAAAGCCATACACGTTTGAAAAAAGTTACCGAAAAATACAATGATTCAATGAGTTGGAATTGAGATGGCATTGACTGCAATGTGTCAAATGACTTACATTTGAAATGTATTGTGGCACTTTCCCTATGTCCCAAACAAACGTAGTGAAACGTAGTTCCCTATGTCCAATCCAAAATCCAATAGATCGCATGACTGTCAAAATTAGCCAAAAATACCACCTCAATGTCACGAAAAGAACAAGGATTATTTTTAGGTGTCTCAAGAAAAGGGATTCGACAAATATTGTTTTGTCATCACTTTCACTAACTTGGAATCACGTCACGCGATTGCAATATTTTTATTCGTGTCAAAAAAATCTTTTTGCCGTGATTTATTCTTGTTCTTTGACTGACATAACGCTAATCCACATTCTTACCTTAAATGGCAACACTTGACCTATGCCATTGCCTTTGATACCACCCAAATTTTTGTTTGTAGATTTATTTTGAAGAAGAACTACTTTTAATGCCTTTTTTTAAAAATGTGTTTCAGGTGCACGAGCTACCCGCTGACAAATTGAAAACCAGAGAAGTGGTTCACATCGACATTGCCAACGATCCAGTCGCCACAAATGACTACAAAGCAGCAGAGGATCCAGCCACGTAAGTTGGAGCACACACATTATTTAGGAAAAAATGAAGAAAAATTGCTAACTAACCAACTCTCTCTTCTATTCAATTTTCACAGATTTAAATCGGAGAAAACGGGCCGTGGACCATTGGTTGGCCCCGATTGGAAGAATAATGTAACGCCTGTGATGACTTGTTACAAATTGGTAACTTGTGAATTCAAATGGTTGGGTTTGCAGTCAAAAGTGGAGAGTTTCATTCAGAAAACTGAACGAAGGCTGTTCACCGTGTTCCATCGGTGAGTTGATTTGCATTTTTTTTGTACAAAAATTCGCGGCTTTTGACTTTAGACGAGAATTTATGTTAATTTTTTTTTTAGTGAACTCTAATGGGAAACTTTGTAGTCTTAAAAAAATTGCTCAATCGTTTTCATACATTGTAATATTCGGTGAGTGCCACTAAAAAAATATCCACACTCATCTAGTGCGTGAGACGCACGCGGATGAGATGAAGCAAAGCGAAAGAGGAGCGGGCAACTCCATACGAACGAACGATATAGCGCGCATACATTTCGTCACTCCGTCGTTAGAATACGGACACAAACACAAACACGTAGTACCCATTGACTCTATGTTCTAGTTGCGCACTTCCCTTTCGCTTTGCTTCATCCCATCCGCATGCGTCTCACTCACTAAATGAGTGACCATGCGTCTCACGCACTAGATGAGTGTGGATATTTTTTTTAGTGGCACTGACCGAATATTACAATTTTTGATCGTTTTTTTTTTTAAATTTGAAAACGTTCATTTCTTCGAGAATTCGTTGAAATTGAATTTCAATTCAAATCGATTTTATTGAACAAATAGTCCTTTAAATACCCGAAAAGTGCCAGTTTTGATTAATCGCGCCATTTCTGTACATTTTTATTTCAGTCAACTGTTCTGTTGGATGGATCGTTGGTATGGTTTGACAATGGAGGACATTCGTGCTCTGGAAGACAAAACCAAAGAGGAATTAGATCGACAGCGTCAACATGGAGATGTGCGTGGAATGCGTGCTGAATAAGTAAAATGTCAAGTTGCCCCTCTCGTCTCCATTCGCAACGCAATGAGAAAAAAAAAACATGTGTGTTGCATGAGAAATCGACGGAAGCTGAACCAACATTTAAATATTTAACAAAAAATTAAACAGTAAAAAAAAATTTGCAAAATTCTATAAATAAATTGAAAGTGAAAGCAAAACAAAAAAAAGAATTATGGAAAAATAAAAACGAATGAAAAAGAAAATTTGTTGTAAATTACGAGGAAAGTCATTTTTTTGGGGAGAAGAGTCTTAGGATCGGTGTGGGATTAGCACACATTATCACAGACACACAAACTTAACATTTTGGCAATAACACAACTAAAAAATTAAATAGAAAAGAAGAAAAATCTTAAGCAGACAACTGAAGGAAAAGGAAAATTCTTGTTATAAACAAATAAAAAAAAAAACGTTAGTGAAATAGAGGAAAACTCAATTAATACGCAGAGAATAACATACAGAGGTTAAGGAAAAAAACGATTTTTATCATCGATCTCACATCGCATTGGCATGACACAGAAAATCCGATGTCAGCTGGTTTAAATTAGTTGAATAGAGCGTAGACGCGTCTGAGAATGGACGGCTAAACACACACACACACACACACACACAACAATTGAACTGTTAATTTTTGTTTGTGGCATAGAGAGCAAAAGCATCTACAACGACAATTTCCCTTCAGTTCTCACCACTATCCATTTTTTTTTGCCATTTTGCCTCTTCGTCTATCTCTTTGTGCAATCGACGGATTTTGGCTACGTCGCGCACTTTACGGTGATAATATGTTTAATTAACACGACAGCGGCACCAGTCGGACGTAGTGGGGTATGGGTGATTGAGGTGAAAACACGCTCAACCGAAAGTTGATTGAGCATTGAAGTTCATTGAATGGACTCAGAAGTAAACTAGAAAACAGGGCAAATGAACTTTTGGAATTAATTTGATTTCTTTTCCTTATAAAAATGTGACGAAGAGTTTGATCTTAGCCCAATTAATCAACCCAAATCCATCAGGCTTTTTGATTTTTGAGCGGGAAATTGTAATTTTTGAAGCTATTGAAAATTGTTTTCATTCGAAATTTTGACACATTCGATCAACATTAATTTAGAAACTAAATCAAATCATTTTACACACAGGGAGATTTTTGGTACAATTTATTTTTTCTGATAAAAATAACCCAGAATTAAGATATCTAAAACAACATTTATTTTCTTCCATACAAATTTTGTCTGAAAAATACTTCCTTGTGTGTAGAAACAAAAATTGCCTCTAGAAAAAGAATCTTTTCAACAAAATTAGCCTTTAAGGGTGCAGTAAGAAACATGGATTGGAAACATCCCATAATGTAATTTTGTTTACAGGAAACATTTTAGTGGAAACAAAAATACACAGGATCTTATGGGGAACTGGAAACATGTTTTCAATCCATGTTTCCTAGTGTGACTGCACCCTAACTATTTATGAATTCAGAAGAATTTTAAATTCGAATACTTTTTGAATCCAGGAGAAAAATTCAATTTGAAAGAAAAAGTTGTTGATAAAAAAAAAAACTTAATTGAAAAAATGAGAAAAAAATCAAAATATAAAAATATTAGAAAATCATTGAATTTATCTAAAAAATGAAGCGGAAAAGAATTTAAAAAATCCAATCAATTTAAAGAAATAGATTGTTTGTGAAACATTCAATCCGACAGAAAGCCTATGAATGTTGAAACAATTTTCAATTTTCCTCAAAAATTGGCTGGGTTCAATTTTTGCCCAGAAAATTTACCTTTGGGATCATGCACATCTCATTGAGAACGGCAATTGAGAGTTCAAAGTTCATATATGAACTCAATGAGCTTAGAGTTCATTCGCCCCACAACCTTCTCGACTACGACGACTTGTGCTCAACACTTAGACAAACAACAACAATGAAATTAGATAAACAATGAGAGAGAAAAAACTGTGAAATGCTCACGAATGTAATTAAGATGCAAATTGATAAATTCGTTTGAGTCAGTGTGTAGTTTTTATTGGGTTAGCCCCGTGCAATTGATGCAATATTAATAGTATTTAACCACAGAAAAACCAAATCTGAGTCAATGGGATTGAATGTTTCAATTGTTGAACCAAAGGAAAGTGATTCATCTTTAAATGAATGCCCATTGAAAGATTTGCCACATAAAAAAATAAACCCTATTCCAGCATTAACATCCATTTACTACATTTTTGACTTGTTTTTTTTTTTTCAAGGTGTCTCCATTTTTTAACTAATCAACTACATTCGTTTTCGCGATTTTTTTTTCGCAAGCAAAGAAAAAAAAATTCACTCTTTTATTGTTACATTTAACCTTGACTTGAAGAGAAAAAAAAACAAATGCAGATTTATCGATATTGATAGACAAAACACACATTTCATTATGTGATGCATTGTTTATGAACATGAAATCACTACTAGTGATGAAAAAAGATGTCAAACAGAAAATTCTAAAACGGGTAAACGCAGAGCGATCAACTGTGGTGAACGGTAATTGAGAAAACTCAACTGAACTTCTTTTTGTAATACGACATGAAACTTGGAGATATTAAATTTGTTTTTTTTTTTTGCATTTGTCGACAATAGATGGAAAAAATCTTATAGTTGTGATTCGCGATTCACATACTTTGCCTTAAGTCGGCATTTTTGGATGGAAATTTGGAGTTTTAAACAGAATTTTGCGTAAAATTTGTTTGTTTTTGGCAAAGTTGAAGAAAAATTACGGTAGAGTTATGGATTTTTCCCAAGACTTTCTTTGAAAATTGACGTATTTTCAAAAACAAATCCAAACCAACGTATTTTCTTAATTCTTTTTTTAATTTATCAGATTTTAAGTGGAACTCCGCACATTTTTGTTAAATTCCCCCAAAAAATTAGAAAATTGTGTAGAGATCAACGATTTTTTTTTCTCGATAAATTGAGGAATTCTCTTCAAAAGTCAACTTATTTCTCTAGAAGTCAAAGAATTTGAACTTAAGAAGAGGAGAAAATTGGCGATTTTCCACAATAAATAAACATACTTACAAAACATTAAGACTTTTTCCGTTCTTAATCGCCGTTCACCACATATTCGACTTCGCTTTCATCAAATTTCTTTGACTCTGGGCCAAAAGAAACGTACAGCCAAAAATAGCGATTGAGGCTTCTTCCGATTTGGTTGAAAATATTCCAGCGAGTTGAGAGCGAACAACAATGTTACCACATCAACATAAAGCATAAGATATTCCCACTCTCGGAACCAGAGAATCAATGCAACATTTAAATACATATATTAAAGAACAGAAAATGCTACCAATTTTTTTTTTTTTTACATTTTTCTTCGCAAATTAAAATCTGAATGTCCATTTTGAATATAATAAGCGTACAAAGAGACAAAAACTCATCATTTTTTCGAGACTCAATTTCTCATTGACATCAATTGTACATTTTTCGATGCGGTTTTTTTGATAGAACCAATTTTGAGTGAAGCGATGAGAAAAACCAAGATGGAAACAAAAAACGGTTCAAATAAACAAGTTGCTCATTTAAAATAGTCCATTACAATTGGATGCTCCGGTGTTACATTTCAGTCGCGGGCATTAATTTCAGTTCGATTGAGTTTTTACACCATTGTTTTTGGGAAGACAAAATTCGGTCATCCACCAGCAATGGATGCTCTCATTCGATTCTCCACACCTTAATTTTTCGGTTTTTGCTGTACACCAAATTTTTCTTAGCATTTTTAGGTTTTCTATGTTTCGTTTTGATCTGATATAGAATATGTAAATAGAAACAATTGCAATTGAATCGAATTATAGAACATGAACAGAGGAAAAAAAAAAAACAATTTATTTGATGAAGCAGCGCATTTAGCGATTAACACGTACGTTTATTGCATTAATCTTGTTTGTTATTTGACATTTTTGTTCGGGCTTTAACATATTTCATTCAAATTAACACTGACATTTAAATAAACATTTAAGACATATATTAATAATATATTTTCAAACGATCGGTCACACGGATTTTTGGAATGGCTTTCTTAAAATACACGGTATATAACAAAACGATTGAGAGAAAGTGAAAGAAAAAAAAAAAACATTGAAAAAACAACAACAGATTTTAGTAAAATTCATTATCTATTACAGAAATTGTTCTAATTGTATTATATTCGAATGGATGGAAACAAAATATATTATGAGATGCAAAAAAATATCGAAACTTTTATCTTTTCATTATTTCAGCCTTGATCATAAGTCATGTGGTTTAGATTTTTTGGAGTCACAATTGTGAAAGTTCTTCTGAATTTGATAAAAAATTAAATGGTTTTTTCGGTACATTTCTTTTTCTTATAAGTAAAAATCATAGGCACGACATGAGCAAACAGCAATGATGTACTGCTTACAGCGCCGAGTACTCCCGCAGTGGTGAGAAACTAAAACACACCAATCACCAATATTGATGTTCACGATCATCAAATTGTTCATACTAAATTTTATCCACTTTAGGCACTCATAACTGCTCATAACCACTCATAAAAATAAAATTCTTGATTATTAGAATCACATATCAAGTTTACATGCTAACTAAAAATCAAATCGGGAAAATTAAAAATAAATTCAGCAATCCGACGAATTACCGAACGTTTTTTGTGTTTTCGGCAAAATATCGAACTATCAACAATTTTGTCGAAATTCACTCACATCGGATTCCATTTTCACTGGAATTCGGCAGTGTTGATGCAATTCACATGATAAATTATCTGAATTTATCAAAATATCCGATCGAACAAATGCAGAAAGACCGATGTTTGACAAGGCTGTGCGAATGTGTGCGAATTACTTGTTATTCATTCGGGCAAGTGTATTGGCAATGCTTTATAATGTTAAATGAGTCCAGATTTTGTAATGACAGTTCGTTTCTGTTTATCTTTTTCGTATACTCCAAATTGGTCGTTCTGCATTTCTGGAGTACTCAGCGCTGTCAAGCAACTTTTTTTCATGTCGCGCCTATGGTAAAAATGCAAAGAAAAAAAAAGTTACTTCAATTTTAGAAGTATTATTATCCAACTTCATCAATTCAATGGATTTCATCTCGGAAATTAAAAAGACGTCAGTATTTTATCAGTTTTTTGCTCTGGATGCATATATATAGCTCGAATAACATTTTCTGATGAAATGAACGGTTTTTTTTTAAAGCAGAGCGAATTTGATATTATTTATGATCCAAAAATGAGTGTTTATAAAAATAATTATTGCGAATATGACTCTCACGTCCGCCTTGGTAACACATGGAATGATTCACGAAACCAAAGAAACGCATGTCCGTCCATACATGATAAGTATTTTCTTGAACGCCTCATGATGATAAGGAGTCTGAATTGTTGGTTTAAGCTTGAATAATATTACTGATTTCATGAGTAGAAGAGCAGTATTCGACATCGCATTGAGTAACAGTGGATTCTACGTTTTGTTCCATCGAAATAATTGTTTATAGAGAAAATTTTCATTACTCGCTACTTGAGTCTTCTTAAAATTATTTGTTTAGTTGTGTGAACAAAATGAAAGTGGAGGCGACTTCTCGCCCCAACTGTTTACATCAAAGTTATTTCTTTCGTGTGGTTTTGTGGTCGGCTTCGAAATACTCATTAGTTTCAACAGATGACACGGATAAGCCGATGAAATCGATCGGTTTTCTTCGATATCGAAAGCAAATATTCATCGGGATGTTGGTGTTGGTGGTCATTTCAATCTATTTATTCAGTCAATATCCGATCGGACCAGAATTTGGAACCAGTTTTGGTGCTAAATCATGCTATGAACCAACATCAACGAGCTATGATGATATTATTCTCTTTGAAGACATCTATGAGGCTGAAAAACAACCGACTCCCGATCGATCGATATTTTTCATTGAAACGTCATGCGTAAGAAATGGACTGGCCGCACTAAATGCAAGGTGAAAACAAATGTCAGCTATGCAAATCCATTCAAGTGTAAACATTCACTCTTCATATATGCAAATAGGCAGGCATGTGCGGTCGAATCAGCAGCGCGTTGCAATCCAGATCGAGATGTTTTTCTGCTATTTCCGTCGCAAGTTGGATTCTCCGAAAGTTTATCAAGACCAGTCATGAAATCTCTACGCTCGTATCATAACATTCACTTTCGACGAGTGAATTATCGCAACTATTCCATAGGTACGCCGGCTGAACAATTTTTCCAAACCGACAAAATCTTCAAGTCAACATATTTTATTGAAACCTTCTCGGATTTGCTAAGATATTTAACACTTTACCGATTTGGTGGCATTTATTTAGACACGGATACGGTCACACAACAGGTTGGTAATCTGATTGAAATCCCAACAATTTATGAGTTTAATTGTATTTTTGTGTTCTTTTTTAGAGTTTCAATGATCTACCCGCCAATTTTGCCGGCAACGAAAAACGAAGCCTTGCAAATGGTGTGATGGGATTTGATAGACATGGTCGTAAAATCTTAGAATTGACTATCAAGTAAAAAAAAAATATTTCGCCAAAAGTTTTGTCCTCCTTTTAATGTCACTTTCTGCTTGATTTAAAATGTTTCTCTTTTTTCAATACAGAAATATGTTTGATAACTTCGATCCATATGTTTGGGGTAACACTGGGCCTCAAGTTCTGACTGGAACTCTTTTGAAAATTTGTAATGTGACTGAAGTTAGCGATATGAAGCCAGAAATTTGTGAAGGATTTAATGTGATGCCAAAAGAGGTGTTTTATCCCATACATTATTCGGAATGGGAGCGATACTTTGATGCTGACCACTTGACTGAATCAATGGAAAAAATCAAACAGTCGATTGCGATCCATGTTTGGAATAAACTTTCGTTGCATCAACCGATTTTGAAGGATTTCAAAAATAGCACAATTATCAAGAAATACGGAACAATGTTGACAAAGAGTTACAAGGCACTGAACCCATATGGAGAAACGGCGTACGGTGCCATTGCTAAGATGGAATGTCCACAAGCCTATGGATCATCAGGCGATCTGTTTTGAATTTGATTAATCAAATTGAAAACAAGTTGAGAACATTAGAGTCTTAGCAAGGCACAGAATCTCAGATTGTAACTCTGGATTAAATATAAATCGATCGTCTCTTTTTTTTCTATTTCGAGCGCTTTTTTTCTTCTTTCTTTTTTGCCACTGTTTTAGTTTAACCTACATAATGCATCAGTTTATCACAAGCTTTTTAGAATTGTCAACCGAAACCCCATCAAAAAAACTGACGTACAAAGATAAAAATAACCACGTTGTTTGACTAAACTAATTTGTTTCTAAACTTAGTTCATCTTTGACTATTGATTGTATATTTTCAATGCTTTTTTTTTAATCGAACCAATTTTAACTGAAACGATGGAAAAAAGATGAGGACAAAACGATAAAATAAACAATTTGCTCATTTAAAATAGTCCGTTTCAATTGGAATTTTCACGAGTGTGACGTTCGGAATCAGTGAAATAATCTCATTTCCATTAAGTTTCTACACACGTTACTTTTTTTGTTCTTGTCCAGTATCTCTTATCAGATCCATTGATGTTCTCATCCGATTCTCTCCGTCTAAGTTTCTTTGTTTTTGTTAGTTAGTTTGTTTTGTTCACACGGTATATACTAACAAAATCGATGATGAGCGATAAAGAAACACATTAATAAAACAAATATGTCGTAGTAAAATTCATTAAACACCTCAACAATTGTTTTAATTTTATTACATTTGAAGTGAATGGAAAGCAAATGATCAGCAATGATAAGGGTTTTCATTGTCATTTCTCTCAGATAATTCTAATTGACAGTCTTTCATTCATCTCATTAAAGCAACTGGTTCACATGAGCTTTATTTACACGAAATAACTTTCATAAGTGTTTCAACATCTTTGCGAGACACAGAGATCCGCTCCGGTAAAACAAAATGAAAAATTGGGCAAAAATTCTTCGCACTGTCTGTTCACGTAGGTGGCAATTTCTCTGGGTAATTTTGCTCATATATTTATTCTATGAAATTGGCATCCAGAGTAGAGCGGTACAGCTGGAAAATATTAACCTCCATCAGAAGTCGTGCTTCATGTCAATATCAACTCACGTCGATCGTTCTGACGACATCAATCTCTTTGAAGATATTTTCGAGGCCGAGAAACAACCGACTCCCGATCGATCGATATTTTTCATTGAAACGTCATGCGTTAGAAATGGACTGGCCGCACTAAATGCAAGGTGAAAATGAATTTTCATCAAAATAAATCCGTCACACTTTCACTCTTCATATATGCAAACAGGCAGGCATGTGCGGTCGAATCAGCAGCTCGTTGCAATCCAGACCGAGATGTGTTTGTGTTATTTCCATCGCAAGTTGGTTTCTCACATAGTCTATCAACACCAGTCATGAAGTCTCTACGCTCGTATCAGAACATTCACTTTCGACGAGTGAATTATCGCAACTATTCAATGGGTACGCCGGCTGAACAATTTTTTCAAACCGACAAAATCTTCAAGTCAACATATTTTATTGAAACCTTCTCGGATTTGCTAAGATATTTAACACTTTACCGATTTGGTGGCATTTATTTAGACACGGATACGGTCACACAACAGGTCATTCATTTTCAATGATTAACTCAAGCTTGATCCTAATTTTTTTTTTATTGAAATTAAGAATTTTACTTTATTTTTACTTTTCTATCTTCTTCAGAGTTTCGACGTTTTGCCCGCCAATTTTGCGGGAAATCAAGACTCAACGATTGCAAATGGTGTACTGGGTTTCAGTGGCAGCGGCCGTAAGATTCTCGGTTTAGTCATAAAGTAAACACTATTCACTTAATTTGTTTTTGACTGAATTATTTTTCTGAATTCAATTGAAATTCATCAATTGATACCCACCTGAGCCAAGATAACCATTGAATTTCGCTCAAATTTACTTACCTTTAATCACGTGCTATATCTCAATTTTCAAACGTAGAAATGTTTGTGAAAACTTCAATCCATTCGTTTGGGGTCATACTGGACCACAAGCCATCACTCGAACGCTCAAAATTGTTTGTAATGTGACTAAAGTTAGCGATATGAAGCCAGAAATTTGTGATGGATTTAATGTAATGCCAAAAGAGGTGTTTTATCCGATACATTATTTGGTGTGGGAGCGATACTTTGATGCTGACCACTTGGCTGAATCAATGGAAAAAACCAAACAGTCGATTGCGATCCATGTTTGGAACAAATTTTCTTCGCATCAACCGATTCTAAAGAGCTACAAAAACCGGACACTCATCAAGAAATATGGGAAAATGTTGATGAACAGATGGAAGGATCTGAATCCATTTGGCGTGACCGCTTACGGAGCCATTGCAAAAAAGAAATGTCCACGAGTCTATAGCTCATCAGGCGATCTGTTTTGAATTTTATTAAGTTGAGAACATTTCTCTTCTGCTGAATCTCAGTCTCAGATTGTTAGAATTAAATATAAATCGGTTTTCCATTCTTTTTGTCTATTTTAGGTGTTCGCTCTTCAACAATTCATTCTTTGTCTACCTGGCGGTAAAATCACAAAAGAAACAATTGAAATTAATGAGAAACAATGACAAAGTGTTGAAATCAATAGAAAATTACAAACACCTTGTTCTTCGTTTACTTCACTGGTTTTCACCTTGTTTCATGCATCTATTAGGCTGAGTCCAAATGCTCGGCTATAAAATTTATAGCCGGCTAGAAAATGAAAATAGTCATTACAGTGACAAATGCCTCAAACTATATGTGGATTTGGGTTCAGTGGCTTGCAATAGCCTAGAATTGAATAACCTGACATGACAAACCCACCTACATACGGCGAAAGACGGAATTGAATTTTTATAGCCGGCTATAAATTTTATAGCCGAGCATTTGGACTCAGCCTAAGAACACTTATTTTAAGATAACAAAATGCAATTGTTATTTCGCTTCAAAACATTCACACGTGAAAGTAGCGAACTGCTGATGAAAAAAATGCTTGCATTATAATAAGGTAATTACCAGTTGTAAACAATGTAACTTTTTGTCAACTGAAACTTATTGCACGTTTCTCTTTCCAATTCCATTTTCATTCTTATGGTTCTTCTTTAACTGTACATTTTTTGCTGCTTGTTTTTTCTTTGACTCACAAAACACGTCAATTCAACAACTTAATTTATAGCACTTTCAAAACATATGACATAATATCGGAAACAAAGTTGTGCAAAATCGCATTGTATGCCATAATAAATCAATTTGGCTCTTTATTTACATTTCAAGTGTTACGTATTTTCGATGAAAATCTCCAAAAATGTTGACCATATTTACGCTATTATTGTATACCAGCACAGAGCAAAAAAATAGTGAAAAAGAAAGATTTTTCGTTCCAATGGCTTCATTTTGTTTAAAAATCGTCAGTGCTATTGTGTTCATTGTCCGAAATAGAAATACTAATTGAAACTGTAGAAAGACAGTGTGAGCAGATTACAGTACTTGCAATCTCGTTGAGCTAATAATTTTCAAAATTGGTTGTTACTCCATTTAACGATTGAACATTTAAACATTGTCCAATGGACAAGCTGCGTAAACAGCGAGAGACAAATTTGTGCACAAGATTGAAACTGTACAAATTTGTATACTGACAGTCATTTGCATTTCAGCTAGACAGTCTGGAGCGTAACCAGACGGACACGTGATAAACAAAATCTATATTTGATTCAATTTTCGTTTTTATTTTGATCAAAAAAGTTGCACTATCCCTTTGGAAGCAATAACGAAAATATGAATAACGAATTCGGTTGAAATCATTCAAATCGAATAAGAATCATTCAACATGAATAACTTAAAAGCGGGACTCATGCGCACCAATTGTTTATGTTGGAAGCAATTTGTCATAGTAATTTTGTGCATAGTATTCGTTTCGTTTCATTTACTTTATAAAATTGGGAATCAATTTGGAAGTGAGCGTATAAAATTGTGTTTGGATAATAAAACCGAAAATAGTCGCTTTGACCAGAAATCTTGCTTTACACCAGCATTATATACCGTCGATCGTGGTGACGACATCATTCTCTTCGATGATATTACTGAAGCCGAGATACTACCGACTCCAGATCGACCGATATTTTTCATTGAAACGTCATGCGTTAGAAATGGACTGGCTGCATTGAATGCAAGGTAATTTATAGCGATATAGCTAACCCGTAACCAGTGTTAGTGTCAGAATTCTCAATTGAAACTCTTATCAACAAATCAAAGCAAGCGCAAATTATTTGAATTCTATAAACCAAAGCACTTGAAAAACCCAATTTAAACGAGTGAAAATTCACAATTTTACATCTTCTGTTTAAAAATCAAGGCAAGCATGTGCAATCGAATCAGCCGCACGTTGCAATCCAGATCGAGATGTGTTTGTGTTATTTCCATCGCAAGTTGGTTTCTCACATAGTCTATCATCACCTGTAATGAAATCTCTTCGCTCGTATCGGAACATTCACTTTCGTCGAGTAAATTTTCGCCACTATTCCATGGGTACGCCGGCTGAACAGTTTTTCCAAACCGACAAAATATTCAAATCGAGACATTTTATTGAAACCTTTTCCGATTTGCTGCGATATTCAACACTTTACCAATTTGGTGGCATTTATTTAGACACGGATACGGTCACACAACAGGTTTTCTTTTTATTGCTCTAATCTTAGATTTTGATTGAACTAACGAGTTTCTTTTCCGTTTTGGGTGTTTTTATCATTTTTTTTTTCAGTGTTTCAACGATCTTCCTGCAAATTTTGCTGGAAATCAAGACGCATCCATAGCAAACGGTGTACTTGGATTTAGGAGTGGCGGTCATAAAATTCTCAAAATACTCATGAAGTAACAAATCAGTTTTTTGCATATAAAAAGAAGCCAATATTATTTGAAAACTTTTTTTTTCACCACAGAGATGTTTGTAACAATTTCGATCCAAATATGTGGGGCAGTACTGGACCACAAGCGATCACTCGAACGCTACAGAAAGTTTGCAATGTGACTAAAATTGGCGATATGAAGCCGGAAATTTGTTCAGACTTCAATGTGCTGCCCAGATCATTTTTCTATCCCATACATTATTCCAGTTGGAAGAGTTATTTTGATGTTAATTTGACAAACGTTGCGTTAGACATAACGAAAAATTCGGTGGTCATTCACGTTTGGAACAAACTGTCGAAACAGCAAACAATTTTGAAGGATTTTAAAAATGAGACACTCGTCAAGATGTATGGCGAAAAGATGAAGCGGAAAATTGAACATCCATTTGGTGAGACGGCATATGGATTGATTGCAAAGAAGAACTGCCCACGAGCCTATAGCTCATCGGGCGATCTGTTTTGAAGTGTGTGAAGATCCAATCGATCAACTGCAATTTGTTGCATTTCTCCTTATCGCTTCCATTCTCATTGTTGTGTCTCCATTTCAATTGTGTTTTTTCCACTGCTTGTTTCCGGTTCAACACTTGCAACACATTAATTTACAATTTTATGGCGTTTTCAAAATATATGTGATAATATTAAAGTAAAGATAATGGAATTCCGATGAACAGATTAAAATCACAATATATGCCGAACCAAATCAATTTTGCTCTTTATTCGAATTTATCGTGTTATTTTCGATGAAAACCACTGAAATCACGAAAAATCACTATTTTAGGGCAAAAATAGGGCATAAACCCGCTTTTAGCCCCAAACAACATTATAGGATATTCGGAAAGCTCGTAAAAATCCTTTTAAGGCGTTGTACATTTCAACTCCATTAAACGATCATTTAATATGGGCTTACTAGTCAAAACATTTCAGTGGCAGAAAGTTTGCAAAGCTTTTAAAATTTGTATCTCGTTCTTTTTCTTTTTGAATAAAACTAGAAAATTTTATCGGAACTTTGAAGTTCGAATAATATTACAAACATTTGCTTAGTCTTTTTTACTACCTCAACCAGGGCTTAAGAATCGCACTGAGTGGTCCACTCAGTGCGATTCCTAGCCCTGAATAATTTCATTCTGATTCTAATAGTAAACGACAATGCTATCGCGCATAGTCCGAAGCAAGGTGGTCAGCATTTGAAATCTCGTTAATGTTACCAGCTCAGAAATGTTATTGTATTGAATGACTCTTACAAGCTGAATCAATAACATCAGACGAATGTGTATACATCCGCAGATCAGCCTTCAACCACAGCGAACCACAGTTAGACAGTGTATGGAATGGACAATGGACATTGGACATGCATATTTTGAACCAGACATAGAATTAATCAACAGAAAATAAATAAAATTAAAATACTTCGTTTGTGTCATTAACACTGAACAGCTGAACACATTTTTCGATAAATTTGTACTGAATACATATTGAATGCTATTGTTTTGCTTCGGAATAACATATGGTTCTTTCCATTTTTGCAAATTGCTTTCCATCTCTTGTTTAGAAAACAAATTCTTTTTATTTATTATTCGTTCTGCAGTCTGGGCTTACTTTGGACTCTTACGTTTTTTTGTGCATGCAGAGTAAATTATAGTAATAATATCATTATTCAAAACAAGCTATTTCACCAGCACTTCGTTGAATTTTATCACATTTCAAACTATTCACGGGCGGTGGTTGCCATGAAGCATACAGTCGTTTCATTTGAAGTCACCGATCGGGCGAAAAATGTATTCAAAATGGCAAGTTTCATCAAATTCGTTTCGTTCGCGGTATCTCTTGATAGTTTCAAGCTTGACAATCATTGCAATCTACACCGTTTATCAAATCGGAAGTGAATTTATAAGTCATCAGCTCATGATAGAGCTTTACTCGCCCAACGACACTGCAAAGAGGGCGATTGTGGCGAAAACTTGCTTTTTACTAACGCCAGAATTGATTTCGAATCAATCAGTTGAGCCTATGAATTTCCAATCTCGAAACGGCAACATAACTTTATTTGAGGATATTTTCGCGGCAGAAAAGCAACCGACCCTAGATCGAACGATATTTTTTATTGAGTCTTCTTGCGTCAGAAATGGATTAGCTGCTCTAAATGCAAGGTAATTTAGACTTAATCTGAATAAGAGAGAATTCAGGTAGATTGACCAACAAACGTTTTCCCAAGAACATTTATATCCCAAACCAACAAATAGGCAAGCGTGTGCGATTGAATCAGCTGCCCGTTGGAATCCACATCGAGATATTTTTGTATTGTTTGCTTCGCAAGTTGGATTTTCAGAAGAATTGTCATCATCAACTATGAAATCACTGCGTTTGTACCAAAATATCTATTTTCGTCGTATAAATTTTCGCAACTACTCGATGGGCACGCCAGCGGAGAAATTTTTCAGCAAAGACACAATTTTTGAATCGGAATACCTCATTGAAACCTTCTCGGATTTGCTAAGATATTTAACACTTTACCGATTTGGTGGCATTTATTTAGACACTGACTCAGTCGTTCAGCAGGTGGCCTTATTACTTCCCAAAAATGCGTTTTGAACCTCTATAACAACAAAGAAGGTAGTTTCAAATGTAAATGAAAAAATGTTCCGTTTTATTAGAATCTGGACCATTTGCCAGCCAATTTTGCTGGCAAGGAAACGGGAAAGTTTGTAGCTTGTGGAGCAATTGGACTCACCAGTGACGGCCTTGGTCATAAAATTGCTGGGATTATCATTAAGTAAATGTGAAATCACATGTTCTTTATTCATTTTCATGTCATGATTCATTTTCAAATGGAACACAACTTATTAATTTAGAAAAAATGTTTTTAAATCCCTAAATTTTCCACCAATAGAACGGTGTGTGACAATTTTAATCCAAAAATTTGGGGTAACACTGGACCAGATGCCATAACTCTGTCTTTGTTCAAGATTTGCAATGTGACCAAAGTCAGTGAGATGAAGCCAGAAATTTGTTGGCGTTTCAATGTTTTGCCCGAAGGAGCATTCTATCCTATTCCTTATTCACAATGGGAGCGATATTTTGATGCCCGGTTCACAAGTGAAGTTTTACAAAAATCCAATAAATCAATTGCCGTCCACTTTTGGAATAGACTTTCGTCACAACAACCAATTTTAAAGGATTTCCACAACGAGACGCTTATTAAAATGTACCTAGACCGGCTGAACAAAACTGAAAAAAATCAAATTCCAATCGGAAAAACGGCATATGGAGTTATTGCAAAGAGAAACTGCCCACGGGCATATGATTCATCAGGCGATCTATTTTAAAGTACGCTGGAATAATGGACATTTAAATCAATGTAAACTTCATTCGCCTTTAACAAAATTTATTTTAATTCTATCCATATTATTCGTAAAATCTCAATCATGTTTACCATCTGATGATAATAAGTGCGCCCCTATTCTCAGAAATATTTTCGATCAAAAAATCGTTTGATTTGCGCTGTTTTTCTTGTGTTATTCATTAAATAATTCGTATGAGTGAACAACAATATATATTTTATGGAGTAATCAAAAGTTTTTCATTTCATTTTCTACTTGATTGTGGCAATGCAGAAAGGCTTCCCGTGAACGCCAGCCACACTTAAAAATAAGCGAACGATACAAAGAGGAATGTGCGTTAGTTCGGTTGTGTATGAGCAATTAATGTACAGAGTATATGAATAAGCGCAGATTTAAGTGCAAACGCTTATTTTTAAGTGCGGTTGGCATTAACGCGTTAGGTTTGTTTTTCCTGAAAAAACTTTCTATAATAATTGAATTCCATTGTATTACTCACATCGTCAAATTTTCTGAGCCAAACGGACAATATATGTCAACAATAAATTATGTCCACAGCTATTCTAATTCATTTTTAATATGATTACTTTTGATTGAATTTTAATGCGTTCAGAGAGTTGATAAAAAAGTAATGTTTATTGAGATTGAGTGCTGAACGAGAACGGGTGCTGATACATTAGAAACGAAATTGAAATGAATTCAGAGTGGCGTTCAAAGTGGTAAGAATTGACTAAACTCTCAGCAATTGATATATATTACGTGTTCAAAATAAACGACGTAGAAAAAATATTTCAACGCAAATTTCCCTTGTAATTAAGGGCAAAGTGGAAATACAGCTCGGTTTAAATCGACCGTTGAACACCTAAAACCTAAGATTAAGAAAGATTATATAGACACACCTGGAAAGTGCTTTCAAGATTAGAAAGTGATGATTACAATGGGATTTTGATAAGCACTCAAAAAATTTATTTGAAATAAAAAAAATTTAAATGTACGATATGTATGAACTTGTAATTAAAAATCAAGTTTTTGCAAAAAAATTCGCTCAACTATTAAGATTCGAATACTCATCTATGCTAATTGTTCAGTTTTACTTCATCTCTTTTCTCTAAAATCCGATTCTTTTTCATTCCAGCAATCAAAAATGGCACCATCGGAAACAACTCAAAAGGTATTAAAATGGTTTTGTGTGATTCCATCTGACCCATCGACTAGCAATTGGAAGAGATGCATCCATTTTGCATTACCATGCACAACATTAGCCTGCAATTTGACTGTAATCGGATCGAGTATTGCATTTTGTATAAAGTACATGTCGGTTGAAAATTGTTTATACGCATTATTTCAAATCACGGCGGCTTTGCCAATGACCAATGCCATCATTGCTACGTATTGTTTGAGACAACGAATTACTGCCATATTCAAACGATTATCGACAATTTATGAAACAAGTAAGATAATTTTTAATTTGCAAACATTTTGTTAGGTATAGATAAATAGACTCATCGAAGTAAAGTCATTTGCATTCTGGTCAAATGAATTTACATGAATTCATAGCGAATCTATTTTTTCTGTTCGATTTTCCAGTTGTCAGCAAAGAAGCGTTTGAATTTTTTGTCAAAGCAAACGAAACAAGTGAATGGATGTGGAACATTTGCTTTAAATTTTATATGGGTGGATTTTTCGCTAACACCATATCAATGACCGTTGGCTCTGTTGCAGTTTGCTGGTATACGAAAGGCGTCGTTGATACCAAATATCTTCTGCATGCGTATAAATTTATGTAAGCAAAATATGATTAACTTTAATGAATTGATGCGTTATTTATTGAAGAACAATCGATCTAGGTTATACATTCGCATTGAAATTCTCTGCGCATATTTTCCTTCGAAACTGAAATTCATCGTAGATCCACTGTAGTCTTTTTGATGCGATCCAATTTTATTTTATCTTTTCGTTTTTCTACAATTTACAATTCTTTGTCTTTCTGTTCTTTTTTCACAATCAAGCTTACCTTTGGATATTTCGGCGAAGTATGCTATGACCTTCTCGTTACCGAGCCCTATATGCTTCTAAACGCTTCGTTGCTGTTGACCTTCATTTCGATATGCTTGCACAATCAGGCATTCTATGGAATATTCCAACGTTCAGTAGACGTATTGAATCAACTGAACGGAGATCAAAATGCCAAAAATTCCATCCGCAATTTGATTATTTACCATAACATGGTCAAAGAGTGAGACACATTTCAAATAAGAGTGTTTTAAAGATTTCGTTTTAAAACGAATAACGTTCAATTGAAAGTTATCAAGTCTTCTAGATTGTTTTGATTTTTTTTTTGGTTTCCACGTCGCTCACAACAGTATTTTGTTCATTTGATTCATCAATTCATTTCGTGGAAGTTTCAAAAATAACATCTAATGCATGATTGATTTTAGTTGGTTTTTAGAGACCTCGGATGTATATGGCGTTTATATTTTGGCTCAGTTGGTATTCAGTATGCTGTTTTTGGCGTGCGTCGTGTTCCAATTGGATTTGGTATGTCATTTTCCCACTCTCTTTTGGTATTGGCTCTTGAAGCGAAGTTTGGTATTCCAATCAATAATTGAGTATTTACAGTCCATATTTGATTACAAACACGCGCGCGTAAACAGGTGTACAAAAAGCTTTTTTTCTCAATGAACAATCAACTTTGGAGAGAAATTACTAAATTTTTAATTTTTATATTCACAATACGGAGAGCTTTTTTCTAATTTTATTTTTATCTTTCACCTCATTCTTTTCATATTTCCAAAAATCAAGGAGTTTCAACACATCGACTTCAACATCCTCACCCTTTTAATGGCTGCCACGATTAGTGGATTGAATCTGTTCCTTTACTGTTATTACGGTAAATTAGCAACTGAAAGTTTTCTGAGCATGGGTGACTGCCTATATGAATCGAACTGGCAAGACTTACCCATTCAATTACAACAGCACTTACGCTTTATGATCAATTATATGCAGTTGCCAATTTATTATCGAGGTTGGAATCTTAAAATTGCTACTTTGAATTTGGAAACATTCATCACGGTAAAAACTTTTGTGTGTCTGTCTTTTTATTGTAGCATTTAATTTCGATTTCTAACATTTTTAGTTAATCAAAACGGTGGTAACCAATTATATGATGTTCAAAACCATTACAGCTGACTCGACAAATTCGCAATTTTGCAAATAGACTTCTTCACGAATTTTTTTTTTTTTTTTTCATATTTGTATCAAATTCTATATAGTTTGAATTTGAAAATGTATGTTAAAATCAAAGCAATTTCGATAGGAAGTGCAACCAGAATCAGGAACCGTGAATTCACCATTATGTTGATCGATCGAAATGCAGATGCCAAAACAACTCACGTCTCTATTGTTCATCGTTTATGAATGCATGAGTGCGGTCTTATCGTTTTTATAAGCAGCTGCCTTTCAAATATAATCGCCAACAGAGCAAAGTTGTATGTGACTTAACAGTGAAAACGAGGGATGAGCCTATCTGTGTAATTTGTTGTTGTAATTTGATAGTTCGAACTCTCACCGCTTACGTGTACAATGCAAATCAAATGTATTTCAGTGTGGCGCTAGTAGCATGTAGTTTGCCTTAGACGCAGCTCTCGAGTGAAAACAGATTGCATTTGATTGATAGTAATCAGCGTATTTAGTTGCAACTTGCAAGACAATACTAAACCTCTTTCAATTAATTAACGTCAGCACAACATTTGAATTTAATGAAATACATGTGAATTTTTATTGAAGTAACTTTGTTTATTCTTCCAGTTTATTTTGCTTTTCTGTTTCGTCGGCTAGAGTCAAAATTGTATAGGAAGTGTGCATTCGAATCGGACCTTAAACTTTACTTAACGGAAAAATATACCAATGAATGTGGTGATCAAACTTTTGAGCATTCCGTCTCAAAGCCTCTGTTGTCAAAGCCAGATTTATTCTTGTTATTCTTCCTCTTGTTTAGCTCTGCTGTGTTTGATTCAATTTTCCAATCAATGATCTTTTTGGAATTGTCCATAAAATGCAACTCAATCTCTTCCAACGTGCGATTTTCCGTTTCGGGTAAAATGTAGTACGTTGAAATCAATCCAAAGAGAGAAATAATACAGTAGAATAGTGTGATGCCAGGCAGTGACATTGACACTTCCAAATCGTAATATGTTTTCTTGGCAATGAAACCCAATAAGTAATAGAAAGCAGCTGCCATACCGCTTGCAATGCCGCGAGATTTAAATGGGAACATTTCAGATAGTAATATCCAAGGCATTCCGTTGAATCCACAAAACGAGAAGAAACTCCATAGATAGAGGAAAATCAATGGAATATAGCTGACACCCTTGCATTCCACTCGAAAATTTGAGTGATGTGCATAATCGAAGGAATTGAAACCTTGTGGTAAGAAGATAAATCCATAGGAAGTGATCACAAGTGTGCAAACCACCAAACCAAATACCATGCTTAAATAAAGTTTTCTCTTGCCCGTGTAATGAACGAGACACATGAATGCTAGTTGTGCGACGTTGTCGAGAAGACTCATGATCATCGCTGCTCGATCTGGTGCGATCGGGCTTTCGTAGGCTTTGAAAACCTGCACCATGTATGGCCGCATTGTCAGCACACCGGTCATGTGAGACAGAGCGAATAGAATTACAACAATCGCAAATGGTTTGATCGTACGTTTCCTCTTCATTTCAGCGAGCTTCTCTCGCATCGTCGGCGGAGGATGAGGACACTTTACATCTTGTTTGATACATTCGTTGCATGATTTAAAACTTTCACTGTGCCGCTTTAAATCGTGGAATTCTTGTGCGATCACTTCACTTGACACCCAACCGCGCAACCAACGAAGCGACTTTTCAGCATCGGCCACACGATTTTTCGATAACAACCACTGTGGTGTTTCGGGAATCTGTAAAGAGAGCAATAGAAAAATGTTTGAAAATAGAATAGAAATTATATTTAAGACTAAAATTTCTGGATTTTCATGGAAATTTTGAAATCTGAATTGATATCTAACCCTTTGAATGGGACCAATTTTCTACTCAATGTTCGGTTTTTCAAACGAATTGATCAAATATCGAACTTTTAATCGAAAATATCAAGCTTTTGATTAAAAACTTGTTAAAACCATACATAAACCAAAAAAAATGAAAATCTTACGAAACAAAGTGCAATCGCCGTTATAAAGGGCAAACCAAAGCAAATCATGGCCACCATTCGCCACGCCATAAATGTATTCATCACGAATATAATGGACATTCCAAATGTGAAAGTAATCAAAGTGTATCCAAGTAAAATTGAGCGTGTTGCCGGCTCGCTAAATGAGAAAAGGTACATAGCATTTAAAATGTTGATGAATTAGAAAATAGAGATTTGTATGCATTTCAGTTCGTTTTGTTTAATTTTTTGTTCGTTTTGATCCATATTTTTCGCTCATCCGTGGAACTCTCTCGTTCGATGCAAAAGCTATTGTTAATTTTTTCAAATTTTCATAATCAATGGACTTTGATCCGATGGTTTGTTGATCGATTCAATTCCTTGAAAAGATTTCCCATTATGCTTTTTTGTACGCGATAAAAGTTATTTTTTGATTGTGAACGTAGCTGTCTAAAACTTCTAGAAATGTTCTTCTTCTTCATTTCCATAAGAATGTTTGAAGAATAAAAATAAAAAATGAAAATAAATTATCAAAAAATGATCTCAGTTCTAACCAAATTTCACCGAGATAGGTTAAAATGGGAGCTTCCAACAAGCCAATGGCCAGTCCTTGCAGACCCATTCCAACAAAAATCTCCCAAACAGCACTGGCTCGGTACATTAGAAACCATCCAATTGCAAAAGGAATGTTCACGAGGATCATCGTTTTAATTCGACCTGCGGAAAAGCATTAAAATTTCATGTTGCAAATAATCATTTTCTCATCACAATTACAGATGTCTCCGTCGAGACGCAAATGGTCGATGATGTTTTGTGAGTCTTCTATTGATGTGTAAAGTTGAACTCACCCAATGGATCTGCTCAAACAAAAATGAAACGATTATGATTTCCAATTAAACTTCTCTTTTTTCTAATTTGAGTCAAAAGTCAATCATTTTAACCTGTTAATACCGCCGATAGAATGCTCCCCAATGGTTGGATAAGAAAAACCATACTTCCTATACCAAACGAGAAGAACAAACAAAGAAGGTATCAAAACGGAATCAACTTGAACATAGAATAGCTCATGATTGGGTAAAATTGCTGGCATTTTGAATATTTCAAAAGAATTAACGCACTTCCAGTCAATTAGTCTAAATTCTAGGAAAAGTCTACTTATTCTGACACCAATTATATCTCCAATGCGTGAAACGGATGAGTTTTGTATCGAATGCATGTGTAGAGAAATTTTTTTTTGTATTCGGCTAGGGATTCACTCACCTAACCAAGATGCCTGATCTTGTGAAATCGAAAGACGTTCGTTGCGATTGTATTCATTTCGAATGCCTGTTAAAGCTGGGATGACGATCGAAGCCAATGCGTAGCACAGTCCGAGATTGAGTAAAAGTAAATTTTTCACCGTTGTTGCAATAACCTAAAAGAGTGTTTTGTTTTTAAATTGAATCACTGCAGATAAGATATATTTGAGCGAATGGAGAAAAAAAAGTTCTGAATTTATGTAAAAACTTTTGCTTACCTGAGCTAAAATGCTTCTAAATTTGAATTTTTCCTTCATTTCTACACTCTTTATCGATTCATTCAGCTGATGGCTCATTTTTTGGTAAATTATTATTTTGAACAATAAAATCTTTAAATCACAATTGAAATCAATCGGTATTTGTCCCACATATATTCATGAATGGCAAAATAAATGAAGTATATAAGAGGTTCTCCTTCAAACTCTCGATTTTATTGTTCACTTTTCTAATTTTGTATCGCAATCGCATGCAGCAAGCTGCAGCTTCTATTCAATACTTAATGAACTTGAATTGTTCCAAACCAGACTAAAGAAAACAAGACTAAGATTGACCTTCGTCAACTAAACTTTGGCGAAATTCACTAGTTCAGGTCTACTACAATGTATTGCACTATAATTTCTTTCTATAAAACAAATTCACTATAATTTCTGATAGTTTAGCGCCGCTGAATCAGCGGAAATAATTATAGGTTCTTAAGCGTTTCTTAAGCGTGAACTACAGAATTCGTGAATTGCAAAATAATAACCCAACTTTGCAAAGATGCGACAACAACTGTTCTCTTGCACTTTTGAAGTGCAACTGATTTTTGAATTGAATGATCTAACGTTCAAATGAAACAGCCGGTTTGAATGTGCGCGTGACTGTACTGGAAACGTGATATCAAGGTAATTTAATTTGTAACATCTTTCAAACATGTGGTATTTTTCGTGCTTTTCATTATTATTCTAAAATCAAAATCTTTAATAAAAGCATTTAGAATGAACTGATTTGATTCAAAACAAAAGGTATTCTTCGTCTTAGTTATTATACGGTTGTGATTTGCTCTAGTTCTTCATCGCCACATTTCATACCATTCAAGATGTTATAAAAAAACACATGTCTTTTATTCATAATTGATTGATTCATTCTGTCTTCCTCAAACAAATACGCTCGACATGTATTAAGATTGATAATTTCAAACCGCTCTTCGCAATCGATCGAAGAATACCGAGCTTCAATGGTCTAAACAAACTTATTAGCAATCAATCAATCAACAAATTGAAACGTTTTGCATGCATTGAACGCAAAATCAAAAACAAACCTGTTCTTATTCGTTCTTTCATCAAATGACTCAAGCGAAAAAAAAGATAACAAAGGTGAATGATCAACTGATCAATAAGTGACAACCCGAAAATAAATAGTACTAGCGTTAACCATTCGTTACCTTAAATGGTTATGTTTAATTATATTTAGACATTCTAAAACTGTATACAAAGAGCAAATACTATTCAATAAGGCACAATCTGCCAGCTACAGAAATACGCAGAACTAGCGCCACCTAACGAGCTTGACCTGTCAACTCATGCATATGTGCGCTTCGGTCAAACCGGTATTCAATAGACGGTCATATGGTAGGGAAAAACGTCCTGAGATGGCGCTAGTTTCTTCGTCATATTTTTACATAGAGATTCACGTTGCTGTCAGACTGTGCAATAAGGTCAGTTATAATTTGATAACTCAACATCTGGCTGCTTTTTATACGCTTGACATATATTTAGATTGATAACCGAATCAGGGAAATCCATGAATATGGAGCTTCAAAGTTCTAAACACATTTAATCTTCATATGATTTGAATGCTAAAAAATAAATAAATAGGACATCATAATCTAATCATTCGGATGGCTCGCTCATTTTTCTTGAATATTCACTTTTTTTTACAATTACTGCTATTGATAACGAAAGCAATCGTATGAAGCGTTATTATTAACTGTTACATAATCGATATATGCATTTCCGAGGCAATCCAATGCACTTTTTAACTTTGAAGAAGCGTTACATACGGCAAAGGTTAGGTATTTTATGCATAGAACCCAAAACACAATTCAAAAGTTCTTATCAGCAAACAATTTGCAAGCGAAGAAGAAATAGAAAAGGTCAAATACGTGATTCACCCGACTGTCGGGCACCGATAATTAAGGAATACTTCATTTCTATACGAAATAAACGTAGAACAGTTAAGAGTAGTAGACAAATTTACTAACACATGTGCAAGATTGCCAATGAATCATTAGTAAAACCATATACATTTATTCTAGTGTGGTGCAAACCAGCGTGCTATGGACTAAATGTATATGTCTGATAACGTCAAGGCCAAAAACAATGCTCAGCTCTGCGGTTAAATTCGAACATTCATTCAGTCGTGGTAAAACAATTGAAACAATCGGAGCAAAGTGTGATCAGAGCAAAAATGAAGATTCCGTTATTCATAGCCTTGGTATTGATTGCCATGTCATGGCAGAGTGTTTCAGCTGCAGACCCAGTTGTTGTGAGTGAAAAAGCAAGTTTATTGCATTTTGCAAAAGGAAGAATAGAAAAAAAAAACGTTTAAATAACTTAATTTTTCAAAGTCAACGGGTCAAACCGAATATTAACACCGCAGGCAGTGGGTGCACGGAGAAGAAGAGTGTTTAGAGAAAGATTAAATAAGAAAATCTTTTCCGATTTTTTTTGAAGAAAAAAACTGAAGAAACATGTTTATTTTGCAGAAAAGCGACAATTCAAGCGGCAATCAAGTGAATCAAACATCAAACGGAGATGAAATGACTTTAACCGTTGCCCCGCAAACTGTTGACTGCTTCGGACCATTTCCACAGAAATGTCTACGGGTGAAAGATGGCTCTACCGATGATTGGACATATTTCTATTCACATATTAATGGTTTTAACCATGAATCCGGCTATGAATATGTTCTGAAAGTAAAAACTGAAGATGTACCCAATCCACCTGCAGATGGTTCATCAGTGAAATACACATTACTAGAACAAGTTTCTAAAACAAAAAAAATAAACCCATAGAATTTAACGTCTACGGTATACAAAGCCACTACTTAAAACTAAAACGGTAAAAAAGTATCTTCAACAAAAAACCATGATCATTGGCCCCAAAAAAGTGCAAACAGCATGATGCACACAGGAGACTGTTTTATGGTAAAATAGAAAACTATTCAAAAAGAATGTGAATCTCCCTTATGAGATCAAAGGATTTGATTACAAACTCGGCTTTGAACATACTATCGATGTAAAAACCAAAAAAAAATTTAAAAAAAGAAAAAAAAAAGAAAAATGTGAAGTCTTTTTGTTTTATTGAATTTTTGTAATTTTTCGGATTCTCTTTATTAGCCTCTCCTACCGTGTTTGCCGTGGTCATGGCAACAACCATGGTTTTTGCGTTAATCTTTATGTGCAGATCATTAAGCAATCCGCTTGTCGCCGCTGCTGAAGTTGGTAATAAAGCCAAATTATTTCTATTACTTACTCCTACAAAATGTGACGTCTCAAAATGTTGCACAACAACGATCAAAGCTTCATAAGAATTGATTTCTTCACCGATTCATTTGCCATTTTACTTTCCGCAGCATTGATTCATCGATTCTTTAACCTGTTCATCCGGATCAATATCGGTCACGAAAACTTTAATATCATAACCGTAGCTGTTCATCGTTTGTCATTTGAAGTTTGTTTTCTGGAGTTCACTTTTTACAGCAATTGCCACATCATCTTTTCAGACAAAATCATCAGCCAATTTCAATTTAGGAATTTTGCGTTCTTACAACATCAAAAACAAAAGCTGATGATGTCATATTCAAGATTTCGTATAAATTTTGAGTGTTGAAAGCACGGCCCGCTAGCGTGCTATCTCAATACATTAGAATCAATAATCACACACTAATACACTTTGGGCTGATAATGCGTTTCATGTGTTTGATTTCATTCCATTTTGCTGACGTCAGTCAGTGCTGCTGATTTCGGCTCATCACAAGCTCTGGTATGTAACCTTGGAGAAATTCCAATTTCAATGTAACCGAGAAATATCATTCATAAAAAATCGAACAAAGATTAGTGTTAGATTAGATAGTGTTTGACTGTTTTTTCTACGCTTGCCTTATATTGAGATTGATAACCGAATTATGGAGCAGAATATTGCTCTTTCTAAAACATGCTTAGAACTTATTTTCAATTTTATGAACTAAAAAAATTTGAACTACATCCATGCGATACCAAATTGAAATACAGCCGTATCACTAACATGTGTCGCTGAAAAAAATCCATTCACATCAATCAATAATGTGAGTGTCTCGCTGCTTTTTTTACGCTTGTGATATATTGAGATTGATTATGAAGATCAAAGAATACCGAGCTGCACGGTTTTGAATATACTTATAAGTATATTCAAAATCCAGTTTGAGCAAAAAATACATAATTTCATTAAAATTCAACAGTCAACCAAGTTGGCAAAACGAATGATGCAGAATTTCTAGTTTTGGTAAGTACTTTCAGCAGCGATTCTCAAAAGTGAGTCCCTCCTCCATGACCGAAAAAATGTTGCACTGTGTTATTCAATCTCCATATGATTTGAATGAAAAAAAAAAAATTGAAACATTATCTAATAATTCGGCAAACGCATTTACTCCAGATCCAGATTGATCTACGTTTATTCCGTACAGAAATGAAATATTTCATACTTGTCGGACGAATTGCGTGTGTGTGATTGCCTGAAAATAAATGGTCATAAATTAATTTTTACTAAATTATTCCAGTTTACCATATTGCAGTGTTTTTCTTGAATTTTGCACATTGATGACATCAAGGTCAAAAACATTGCTCGGCTCTACGGTTAAATTTGAACATTCATTCAGTCGTGGTAATACTATTGAAACGGTTGAAACAAAGTGTGATCAATAGGCAAATTTCTTGTGTTTTGTAAAAGAAAGAATGAAAAATCGTTTGAATTACTTAAGTTTTTAAAGTAAAAATGAAATGTTGTACATTTTGCAGAAAAACGACATGCATCGGAAAAGGTGTTTGCATCGAAAATTATCATTAACATAGATGCTGAACTCAAGGTGCTGTATTTGCCAAAAATCAGAAAAAGATTTCGATGTAAATGTCAAATGCATTGGACACAATTATAACTTGAACGGTCTAAATAATTATATTGCAAATTGACTTCATTTTACCGGATCGAATTGGAAAACAATAAGTGCTAGAAACAGCATGCTGCAAATCAGTTGAACTACAGCTTATGGACCGTAAGCTTCAGTAGCATTACAGCAAATCTTTGGAAATTTAATCAAGAATGAATGACAGTTTGTACATGTTTTAGCGGAATTTTCCTCCATTTTTCATGATTTTTTTTCTTCTGAAAAGTGCAAACTGTGTAGCGCTTTATCGATTTATCATGGTAAACATACGAATAATGTCTCAATCTAGTGGTCCGACATATTTATCGCATATTTTATTCTAAGAAAAACTCAATCCACTTCGGTATTGTCAACAACAGACCGCCATGGCGATTTGGTTTGGTGGCAATGTCAATTATTTGATTACTGGAAAGCTCCTCAAAATGTTTGAAGCTTTCAATCAAAATCAACCGCACTGAAACTCTGGGAACCGATTGAAGTGGTGGAATATATTTGATGAGATAGTTCACAGGTTTCCGTTTAATGACTTTATAATGACGCTTTTTATCAACAACCGTCGGCTCGTTGTAGACATTTTGGCGACATACCGAAGGTCAAACCAGCGTCAATTAAGCGTTTCTACCTCCCTTTACTCGAATGTTAGGCAACAACATTTTCTATCTGAAAATTGTTTGGAAAATTTTCCGCAAGGATTCCTCTGCTTCTTCGTCTAATCGGAATTTAAGTAGTTGCAATGAATTCAGAACGAATCGATTTGATAGTTAAATGTGAAGATTGATTTGTTTACATTTAATAGGTGATTGAGTTGTTTCAGTGCATGGATTCGTTCGTGGATGGTATTCATATAGATTATGAAACATAGTGGAAATAATCGACTGTTTAGATAACAAACACTGGAAAATAAACACTCTGTTGATTGACAACATGCACCTCTGCTCCAATGTGCATTTTCTATAGAAAAAAGTTGAATTTCAAACATGTGTCTATAGCAAGGGGAATCTTTTTTGGTGTAAAGCATTGAATATCATCAAGGATTACTTAGTTCATCGGATATATTCAACCCAATTAGTTCACAAAACGAGACGTTTCCATATTTAAATGTGGTCTTGGAATAGTGATTTCGGTTGAAAAGCTTAGCAATCTGCCACAAATCAGAAATACCCATTGCATATTTTAGTGGACGAAAAGTCCACCTTGTAGTTGTCAACAGATCTTTCGCCAGTTGTTCAACTGTCCACACACATTGTGAACTGATTGAAACTAGGGGGATTTCTCACACAAAAAGTTTGAGCAAATTTGCAAAAATTTCTATTATTTCTTCTTTTTTATTGAAATTGTATGAAAATGTACTGAAATGACAATTTTGCTTGGATCAGATTCAGTTTGACATTGCCCTGGACCATCCTGAAGATCCACTTCCAGAACCGGGAGCAGTTCTGAACGAACCTTAAGATCCACTAAAACCCACTTCCAGAACAATTTCTTTGAAGCATAATTCAAAAGTTCAGTGTAAATGTACATTTATTTACACGAATTGACAAAAACTGATCGAATCGGACCGAATTGAAGAAATTTTTCAAAATTTATAAGAATTCATTCATTTTTTTCGTGAGAAATCCCCCTAGGATTGAAAATTCAAATGTTTGCGACTTTTTATCGAATTCACACAAGCATATTTTAGATAACACGTATTTACGCCAATAACACAATTTCGGTTCGTTTCATCTTAAAATATGATTCATTTTGACTGATGAAACAGTTTTGATTTTTCCATCTATTGCTTGTGATAATCGGCATTTTTCGCTTAATTCTAATATTTATATTTGCAAACATCGTACATGCAATAATAATCAATGAAATAAACGTAGTGCTGAAAAAGTAGCAAAAAGCTTGTCGAATTCGTTTGTGAATAACCCAAAACGATAATCCAAAGAAAACAGTAGAAAAAGTCTTTGAATAAATAAGCAGAAATTGATACGCCGTGTGTACATTAGCTGGAAAATTGCCGATGACATTGAAATACTCCCCTTAGGTAAGGTAGCTTGTAATTTTCCATATGACGAATAGTGCTGCACTTCTGCATATCAGTGCACTGATGGCACGGTTTTGATGCTGGTTTATTCATTGATTGGAAATCGATGGTGGACACTGCGGAAAAAGTAAAATATCACAGGAATTGCCACGAGTCGAAGAACGAATTGTTGTCAAGAGAGCGATTTGAAACAGAGTAGCAAAGAAGTAATTTGAAGTGACCATGGATGCAACGAGTTTAACGTTACCATCTCACCATTAGATAGGTATATTTGATGAGATAGTTCGCAGGTTTCCATTCGATTTCAGTATGATTGAAAGCTTCATTATAAAACCATTAATTATAATGAAGCTTTCAATCGACAACCTTCGATTTGTTGCAGACATTTTGGCGACATATCGATGGTTAAACTAGTGCCAGTTAAAAGAAATTTATTGCTTACCAAGAATTCAAATCTTCAGTCAATTTCCCACAAAATATGAACTGCCCAACACCTGACACATTTTCTCCTCGTTTCATAGAATTTTAATCCACACATTTTCTGCTCGTTTCATTCCATGAAATAATTCGCTTCAGCTGTGGTTTTACCACGACGAGATAATATTTTGATTGGCATTTGTCTCTGGTTTTTTTTCTCTTTTTCGACGAATGCTAATTCTTTTTGCTTGCCTATAAGTAAGAGTGACAGTTGCTCCGATTTTTCAGTCATGTTGCTGGAGATGAGTAGTAGACCGCTCGATATTCATACAAAATGTTGAACATTTTTTAATTTTGTAAATTTTTTTGTAAATTCAATTTTTTTTTCTAGTTTGTAATTTCTAATTTCAACGAGTTTACGTTGGTCGTGCCCAAAGATATATTTTCATTTTTCTTATCTTTTTTTCCATCAATTTGCTGTGCTTAGTGCCAGCAAAATCAGAACGATTCAATTTTATCTATCGAAAAACATAAACAGAGACGGCATTTAGTGTGAAAATGAAACCATTGGCCACAGGTCAGCGAGTGTTGACGTGGCTTAGTGTGTGTCCACCCGATGAATCCACGAGCAAATGCCAGAAACAAGTTTATATCATTTGCAGTGTTCTCGTTCTCGTAGCAAATGTGATTGGCTTCGTAACGAGCGTGGCTTATGTTCACAGATTTGTGTCGATTGATTTGGAAAAATCATTGTGTTCAATGTTACAAATTTGTGCAATGGGCTGTGTCTCGTATGCATATATTTTAATGTTTGTGTTGCGGCATAAAGTTACGGCTTTTTTGGGACATCTATCACAGATCTACAAACAATGTGAATTTGATTTAAAGCTCAGAATGTATTTAATCTTTCTTAAAGATATTTAAATAAATAAATTTGGCATTTTGTTGCATTTAGATGCGAACGAGGATACGTTTCGATATTTGGCTGAGGCGAACAACAAAAGCGAATGGTTGTGGAAATTTTATTTCAAGTATCTGCTTGGCGGATTTCTTAGTTGCAACGTGTTCTCAACTATAGCTCTAGCAATAGTCTGTTGGCTGACCTTTGGTAAATTGGATACAGATTATCTGCACATTCCATATTTGGTTATGTAAGTAATTGAATGCATTGAAAACTCCAAATTATAATAACGGAAATTAAGACTCTCATCTGGCAGAAAACATTTAGAATATTTTCAAACATGCTCACGTCTGAAATTGTATTTTACTTTACAGATGGCCATGGAATCAACATACGGTTATGGGTTACTGCGTAGAGATTTGTGCTGATATTATCTGTGGTTTTTGCTATTTCTTCTACAATGGCATCGTTCTGTTGATGTTCATTTCGATTTGCTGGCATCATCGTGCATTTTGCCAGATAATTGGCCATTTGGTACGCAAATTGGACCAACGTGACACAAGCCAAAATGACAAAGTGCTACTTTCTAAGTTGATTCGATCTCATATTCAGTTTAAAGTGTGAGTTTTATTATTTCATTCAATTCGATCGAATGTGAATGAACCGAACCATCACATGACCATTCGTTTTCAATCTGCCACTTTTTCAGTTTGTTTGAGCAGTCATCCCAAATTTACAGCTCATATATTTTAGTTCAACTGATTTGCAGCATGGGCGCTTTAGCTTGTTCAGTGTTTCAACTGGACATGGTAATTGAATTCACTATTTTGAACGATATCACACATCAAATGATCGATTACAATGCGCATTTTATGACTTTCAGGCGATCAAACACATCGACCTTGGACTGTATATGGCTATTGTGAACATTTCGGCGGGCGCTTATAATCTATTTCTGTATTGTTATTTTGGAAAAATGGTCACCGACAATTTTGCAAAAATATCTGAATATTTATACGATATTAAGTGGTATGAGCTGCCCGTTGAATTGCAAAAATATATCATTCTGGCGATTCAAAATGCCCAACTCCCGCTTCATTACCATGGATTCAAAGTTGCCATCCTGAACTTGGAAACATTTTGTGCGGTAAGGATGATTTAAAATTCGAATTTAATCCGTTTCAAATGAAATTTTGTTCATTTTTTTGGTTTCAAAAGATGATTAGAGCTGTTTTTTCGTACTATATGATGTTCAAGACTCTCACAACCGGTTAACTGATCGAATTATTTGATGAATGTTTGGAATTTTTGGCTTGATGTTTTCGCTTCAGTTATTTAGCAACTCAAATGTTTGGAATATCAAACAATTTTGCAATTTGCTGCATTTATTGCGCACGCTCCTGATATGCACAAATAAATTTCAAAAATAAAAAGCCACACTGCACCAAACAAGAGTGTGTTTTTAATTTTGTGTAAGTATGAAATGACATAGCACAATGTGACGTCTTTTCGAATGGTGAGTTGTCGTCTTTCGGTACAATCTGAGGAAATTTTGCGCATAGAGCTAATGGAAATGTTCGATTAATTAGGGGAGCTGAGTTTTGAGTATTAAGAATACAGAAGAATGTAAGATGATTGACATTTGTCAATTGCTTATTGTAAAGGAATGAACATTTGAATGTAGTCTCACTTAGGCAACAGCGGATATCAATTGCTGATGAGCATTGCTACGTTAACAGATATTTTCGAAAAAAAACTATTTTTCATATTCATATTTTATGTTTATTTATTGAAGTATCGTAAACCATCCAAATTGTAACATAGTCTCAAAATAAACCACTTTTCTATGAAAATACAAATAAGTCATACATATACTACTAGTATTCATATCGGAAGATTTTTTCGTATTCTTCTCAAATATGATATAAAAAACAACAGTTACCCTTCAAAGTTTTGCAGAAAATTAGTCTATCAATTTTGTACAATGAACTACGCACATTATTCGATAAGCATGGTACAAATTGTCCGTGTCAAAATTTTCACATTTACAACATTAAAGTAACGCAGTGACTACGGCTTGTAACGTCATTCCAATGAGATATCCGCTCATGAAGAATTTAAAGTAAACTCGCCAGATCCATTCACTTTTGCTGTTTGCTTTCGAAAGGAACTCAGATATTTCGTTGCTGGTATCTGCCAATGCCAATAGGTGAATAAATGAGTCGATTATCTTGAAGATTTGTACCAGAATTGGATTATTTTATCAACACTTTTGCTACTGAACATTGAACTTTTTTTTCTCTCGAAAGTGTTAAGAACATTCTACTAGAATGTTCAATACAAAAAACAATGATTAAATTCAAGTAGTTTATCTTACTTTCCGCATAAATTTCTGTGAATTTTTCGTGAAAATGGTCACCATTCTATGGCGCAAACAAAATGAAACTATGATCATTGCATTACCATTACTAAAGAAAGTGAAAATTATTCATGTTCCAGTTTCAGTTGAAGATGTGATTCATTCAGTGTCCGGTTTGAGGTTATTGCAAAAAATCAAATTCGTTTACAATTTAATTCAATTTACTCATGATTAAAGCGAAGAATTACAGGCACGATTAGGCGATGAATGGCAGGTGTACTTACAGAAGTGTTCAAGTGGATTGCATTTTGAACGTTTCAAACAATATTCAAACAATCTCTTGAACTAAGTCACTTAATTTTTTTGCTTCAAACCTAAATTTTTCAAGTCAATCATTACGATTGATTATTGCACACAGACAGCACTATTGGATAACCCTTGTCCAATTTTCCGCCAATATATCAATCCATCCATATTTTCGGACAATTTCACTCATATTGTCTTATTTTATGACCAACCCTACTACTATCAAATTGCCGTAAGACAATTGCTCACATCCATTATAATGATGGATAATAGTTATTATCCAAGCCAGTCATTTTCATTTGATCAAAATTCACCAATTTCCAGATTCCCATGGAATCAACCATAAAACTTTGTGCATCATTGTTTTGCTATTCAGCTGTTCTATTTCTTCTGCTTGCATCATCTGGCGTTCTCTAAAATGCTTCGACACTTCGTACTCCATCTAAAACGCCCTCGCTAATATCGAAATGACAAGGAAGTGACAATTTCTTCAAATAAATTCCCAGAAATGGCTAAAATGTTCAGTTCCTCAATCGAAAGTAAGCAATTTGAAAAAAACGATCTGACTTCAATGTCAAAGTCATTGGACACCGGGAAAACCCTCAATGTTAATCCCACTGAATTTGAATTTCCAATAGATTTACCCTTAACCTTACAAATGGGCAAAAAATAAGTCTCTTCAGACAAACTATTTCATTCTCTACTTTATTCCTTTTCTTCTCTTTCCGACGTAATATTACTTTATTATAAATGCATGACTTTTCAAACGAATTGGACTGCGAAAGCTCTTCGACTCAATTTTCAATAGAAGACTCCCATTTAAAGTATACCTAGTAATTGATGGCAAAAAGCTGATCCGATTAATTGTGCGGTTCGAAATGTATCAATTAAAAGTGGAATTTTTGATTTGCAATGTGCTCAAATGTGTGGATAAAATCTTGTCATCGAACAAAATAATTTTGAATTCATGATAAATGGTTTATTGGATTGGTAAATGTGTGCAATGCATGTTTTAATTCATGCTTGTAAGTCACACATTCCATTGGTGGAAAACTTTCGATATCAAAGAACAATTAAAACTACGTTCTAATCCATTCCGGTTCTTCAAATACTCAATGCACACCTTTAATTATCAGGTCTTTTGACTATTTTCAATTAAATTTTTGATGTAATTCGCACAGAAATGCACGTAGACCAAAGCGATTGAAAACGGTATAAAAGGCGATGCGGATTGTGTTTTGAAACAGTTTGTGCTTGACCATGGTTTAAAGGAGTTTAAAAAGTACCAAAAGGAATCTCAGAAGTGAAAAATTGTTAAAAGAGTTCCAATTTCTTTCTAAATCAACTTTTGTTACTAGGGTTAACGAAATAAAAGCACAGAAATCGATTGAAAAAAAATTTAATAATAATAATAATAATATGTTTATTTATTTAGATTTCTCCATAAAAACAGCATTAACAATTAAAAATTTTCTTTGACGTATGTTTTCAACATTGTTTGGAATTGATTTAAATTTTCTTGGTTTTTTAATTCTATCGGAAGTGTGTTGAATAATTTAATTCCTTTATAAAATAAGGAGTTTTGGCTACAAGCCTTAATTGCATCTGTCAGACAAACTTCATTTGTGTTTCTTAGTGTTCTGTTTGTGGTTTCATGCTTAAAAATTATTTTTTCAGTTAGATAATTTGGTGCCAGCCCCTTGATTATTTTGAATATAAATGTTAAAGTTCTGAATGAAATTATCTGGTTTACATTTAATAAATTTAAGGTATTTAGCATTGCTTCACTATTTGAAAAACTGTTCATTCGCAATATCTGTCTCATGCATTTGTTTTGTAATTTTTGTAAACGACTTATATCTGTGTTGTTGGATAAATACAAAATTGAAGCACAATAAGTAAAATGTGGTTCTATGATTGACTTATACAAATTTAGTTTTTGGATGCAGTTTAATTCATTTCTTAATCTTCCCAATTGATTGGAATAGCAAAAATGGCGAAAATGGAACCATTAGTAATGAACAGGCATGTGTTGATGTGGCTCTGTATGTATCCGTTTGAAGAAGGCACCAGTATGATTATGAAATTGATCTATATCACGTACACGTTGGTCACGTTTGTCGTAAATGGAAGCGCTGTATTTTGTGCGGGAGCATTCATTTATAAGTTTGTCCAAAGCGATCTAGAACTATGCCTTTACGCTCTACTGCATATTGTCGCGCATTCGGCTATTGTTTATATTCAAATCGCGGCGTGTCTCCTTCAATCGAAGATAAAAACCGATATTTTCGACCATTTGGCAGTGATTTATGCGGCGAGTATGTTTTATCTTCCAATTCAATCGCATTTTCCATTTTCATTGCATGAAAAGCTTCACAACTCATGTCGTCCGTAGTGAATTTCAACAATTTTGTCATTTTTTTTAGACAAAAACCAAAACCATTTCAATTATTGTTTTTTTTTTCGTTTTGTCCCAAGTCAAAAAATCAATAAATCAAAAAAGTCATTCATAATAAGTCAGGGATCGAACACAACATTCATTTTCGGTTTACAGGTGATTTGGTGATTTTGGTGATTTTTTATGACTTTTTGTGACTTTTTGACTGATTTTATTGGGTGACTTCGTTGATTTTTTGACTGACTTTTTTCCTTTGATTTCTTTGACTTTGATAATTGAATTCCTTGTAAACCAGAAACCGCCCTTACGTTCGATCCCTGATTTATGACTGAATTTTTCTACGCAAAATATTTTCCTGGATGAAATTAAATCAATGCTTGATTTAGATTTATTTTTTTATCCAAAATTTTCAATCGTTCAAAATATTATTGATATTTGGCATGGTACAATCCACCACTGATGTACGACCAAAATATATGGAGTTAAATCGTTTAAAAAAACTTAATTGATTTGACATTTTCAGATGCAGACAACGACTCATTTCGATTTTTGGTGGAGGCAAACAAGAAAAGCGAATGGGTTTGGAGTTTCTTCTTCAAATTTGCGGTCTTTGGATACCTTGTGAATAATTGTTCAATGTGCGCAGTGCCAGCGATTCTCTGTTGGAAGAGAGGTCAAAATTTTGATGTGAAATACCTTTATCATCCATTCAAAGTATTGTAAGTCAATTTTGCTCTGATTTTTTAATGTTTCCTCTTATTAAGTACAAGTACATACACTTGTACTTTCTTTTTTCAGTTTCTTAAATTAGTTTCATTCTTAAAATTTTACAAGAATTTAAAAGCTAGATAGTATTATATAAAATTGAACTGGACTTTTGCGATCAAAATGTTTCAATTCAGATTACCATGGCAGCAATCGACTCTAATCGGATACCTTGCCGAGGTGTTTTATGGCACATTCCTTTGCGAAGTGTTTATCGTTGCCACCGGTTCAGTTCTTTGTCTGTTCATGTCGATGGCTTGGCACCATGAGGCATTTCACTTCATGTTCCGTCATTCAACACGCAAATTGGAGAATCCAGACAATGGCCATGAAACGATTGTTTGCGATCTGGTCCGTTTTCATATGATGGTCAAAGAGTGAGTTTCGACTTTCAAAATAGTCAATACGAGATTGCAATCAGTTCGCACAGCTAGATATAAACTCCGCTATAGTGGAGGATATTACAACTATCTCACTTAATTGAGAATAGTTGACAAATTAACTATCAAAATTAAAAATCATAAATAAAACATGTCTTAGGCATAGTTAATATCAATTTCT